TGTATAGGTTGGCTTTGTCTAGTTATTTGAGTCCGAAATGCCTTTGCCCGAGTCTTCTGTTGTACACATTGTCGTTGTCTATTTGTTTCGAGTCCAAATTACCTTCGTCCGAGTCCTCTGTTGTACAGGTTGGCTTTGTCTAGTTATTTGAGTCCGAATTGCCTTTGCCCGAGTCTTCTGTTGTACACATTGTCGTTGTCTATTTGTTTCGAGTCCAAATTACCTTCGTCCGAGTCCTCCGTGTACAGGTTGGCTTTGTCTAGTTATTTGAGTCCGAATTGCCTTTGTCCGAGTCCTCTGTTGTACAGGCTGTCTTTCTCTAGTTGCCTTTGTCTGAGACCTCTGTTGTACAAGTTCTCTTCAATGTCTAGTTGTTTTAGATTCAAATTTCCTTTGTCCGTGTTTTCTTTCGAGTTGTTTTCCTGGGTTTACATTACCATTATCTTATCTTATCCGATTTTAGCTAAAATAATTTTATTGTAACCTACCTGAGACAAAATGAGGATGATATATCGTAAGACAATCCAACCCTCGTGGCTTTATACACGTAATCATATTTCATTATATGGACCATATAATTTATATGCATAGCATTTCAATGAATTTCATTACATTTGTTAATTTCTTTTTAATTACGCTTATAATCACTTGAAATACAATTACAATGAAATAATGGAATCAAGCAACAAATTATACATTCAAGCTTATGTAGAAACTGCAGTTAAACAACAACATGAAAAGCTCTTTCCAATGAACGCCTGCATACAATTGACTTTTTTATTCTGGAAAAATATATTTTTAGAATTTTTTTCTTTCAGTTATTCCATTGTTAGTGAAATACTTTTCTATTGTGAACACCTAACAAACGTGAACATGGGAAGAATATACCTTAGAATTCACAATGGTTTTTAAGTAAACATGGTAGCTGATATTAACCATCAGTTGTGGCAAAATGTCTGGAAATATCTATTCCTAGACAGATACCTGCTTAATTATCAATTCGTTCGTCAATACTCCTTTTAAAAAAATGCTGTTACTTTTAAACTTTGATCGATGCAACTTTTTAATATATGTGGGAATGGATTGTCCATAAAGCACATACATTAGATTACATGTACAGGGTGTTCAAAAAATACGCAACCCAAGGAAAGAAAGAAGAGACTGTGTATGTATAGCCCCTGTTGTTAGTTAGTTCTAAAACATGATGTCTTGGACACTTGTTCAAAAGACAGTTGTACTAGCAAAATACGAAAAACGTGAATGGAAAATCACTATATCTTGGAAAATACTAATTCAGTTTTGTTCATTTTTTCAGGAAAAGAAAGAAGAGACTGTGTATGTATAGCTCCTGTTGTCAGTAAGTTGTAAAACATGATGCCTTGGACACCACTCAAATGACAGTTGTTCTAGGAAAATATGAAAACGCAGTCAGAGGTGACTGCCACAGCAATTAAACCAAATGACTTTATAACCATGGTGTTTTGGCACTTCAGATTTGGCACAAATTATCCTCATTCAATGTGTGGTGAATTTGTGGAGTTTCCTCAAAGTCACTCCAGGGACTTTACAGTCATGGTCAAAATGCCTTCTTAAGTCTCCCTGAACCAGGGCGTTTGACTGCGATTTGAAAGCATTTCAACCATGACTGTAAAGTCCCTGAAGTGATTTTGATTTCACGCTACAGATTTACCATACAAAGAAAGAAGATGATTTGTGCCAAATTTGAAGAGCCAAAACACAATTGTTAGAAAGTTATTTAATTTTTTTGAGGTTGCAGTCACCCCTGACTGCGTTTTTCTTATTTCCCTAGTACAATTGTCTTTTGAGCAGGTGTACAAGGCATCATTTTTTAGAACTAACCATTTACGGGAGTTATACATACAGTCTCTTCTTTATTTCCTGAAAATATGAACATAATTGAACCAGTATTTTTCAAGATATAGCGATTTCTTTGGGTTTCGTTTTTTTTGTTGAACACCCTGTATATTAATGCATGCATCAGTAGAGATGTCAATATGGTCAAAAGTTGTTTATTTGGTTAAAATGTCTTTCAAGGTGAATTATGAATGTCATAAGTTACTATTGTTGAAAAAAACGGTTTCGGCATATTAGCCCCGATCTCTAAGCCAGGCTACAATACTGGAAGCTCCGAAGTGTCCCTGTCTAATGTTCAAACAACCAAGACTCATTTTGCTTTTAACTTGAATTCTACTTTCATGCTTGGATGCCTTTTATGAACTGGTGTTTTGACAAAAGGGATGCACTGGCGGATCCAGAAGGTAACAAGGGAGGGCCCTCATTTCAAGTGAGGAAGAAAAGTTGAGCCACTAAAACCAAAAATTGGGCTCAAGTTTTGAAAATATAAGGCCCAGTTTTGGATAATTTGGCCTAAAAAGGCGATACCTCAAAGGCCAATTTTAGAGGCAAGATAAAGCTGGGCCCACCCCATGGGCCCCATTTGAATCTGCCAGTGGGATACAGGGCATCAACCATGCCAGCAAATGCATCACATCTTCAATATGACAGCTCCAAAAGGGTCTAGTCACATCAAAAATGAATTGATCAACAAGGGAGTTTTTAAACGTAGCATAACTTAAATTAAATTAGCATTTCTATCCAAAAATATCATCAACTTCAAAAATTAAATGCTTCTTTTGACAGCAAAAATAAATTGTCAATTTATTAAACTGGCATTAACAATGTTACCCCACCTTCCTTAAACACAAGCTACCATAGTAACCATACTTTCTCCAAAAATGTGGATACTCAATGAACTGGGAATATTGATAACTGCAATTATTTTACAATTTCAAGTAGAAAGTCATAAAACTTTTCTCAGAACTCATTGATCGACCTGGTATGTTGCATAATATTAAATGAACTAAAAATTCACATATTTTATGTTGAAATACGGCAAAGTGCTATTAGCCTGCAGTGAACACGTGCCTACACTGTGAACGTTTTTCTCGGCCAATCATGTTCACTAAGCACAGGCTTCACTGTACAAGACTAATTTTAGTTATCATTAATTTCATTGCAAAACTTCAAAATCAATTAAAAATTGTTACTAAATATTATTACCAATTTAGAATTACATTAATTGTAATTAATTAGAATATTCATGGAATGGATCATATATGTTGTCAATCTGTCATCATTTTGCAATTAAATTGATGACATGCGAAATGACACTTGCGTTTAATGCGATCATGATAGTTTATATCGAAATTTAATGGTCATGAATTTCTTTCTATAATAGGTATCCAGCGTATTTTAGAGGAGATAAAAGTTAACGTTCTCCTCGTGAGCAGACATTGTGTATAATTGTGAGACGTTCATTGATAAGAAATGAATGAAAATGAATAAATAAAGATATTTATTTAAACGGTAAAAGAAGGGAATATATCAAAGAATAATAGAGGATTTTGAACCGTATTTTCCGTGTTGACGTGGAAGTAGAATGCCTTATTTCTTACTGTCCAGACATTATCCGGGTTCAAGACTTTTAGGCCTGTCGTCTTACCTGGAAAAATTATAAACCAGCAAATGGAAAAAGTGTCACCTAAAGCCTCCGTTACATTTGCTACGGTGATGGGTCCAGGAAACTGGACATGACTGTGATGCCATATATTACGTTAGAGAGAGCCTGTTCTCTTCGTAGTTGTGGCACCTGGCATGTAATAGAGAGGTACACTCCCCTTCATACGTTTGGCAACCTTACCTCCCGCATTGTACTACATGTTAGAGCCTCTTTATGTTTCAATTTTAATTTACACAAACTGCGAGAAAAATGCTTAAAATATTGATGGAAATGTAATTTGACTTCATTTCAAATGCCTCCAAATTTTCCCAATTTTTCCTCGCTTACAATGGGTCGTAAATTGATGATAAATCTGATGAATTTTTGAAAATCGACATTCTCATGTAAACCAATGGGAAATGGTAGGTTTGCCGCAAGTCATATGCCAGAATATTCAACCATCCGAGTTCTTGCAATACAAAGTTAAAGGTCTTAAAAGTCAAAATTATTTTTCTCCTCCAAGTGAAATAAGACAGTAGGCGAAAAACGATTTTCAAAAATGACTTTGAAGCTCTGTAACTTAAGTATTCATAAAGTAACTGAACACTTAGCGTACAAAAAGTTAGACAATTCAATTTTCTATATAAAAATATGTTTTGGTGAATCTTTTATTGGATAGATATCCTGAAATCAGATTTGCCCCGATTCCACGATTTCCTATTGGTTTATATGGAAATGACGAATTCATCAAAATCATCAATTTTCGACCTACTGTAATTGAGAAAAAAATGGGAAAATTTCGAGGCATTGGAAATGAAAACAAGTTACACTTACATCAATAAGATAAGTATTTTCTTCACAAAATATGAAAATAAAAATTCAAACGTAAAGAGGCTTTAACACGTAGTTCAATGACGGAGCTAAAGTTGCCAAATTTATGGAGGGGAGTGTAGTTGGTTCGATTCCCACCGAAGTGGATTGACTATGTTTAGTACTAAGTATTTAGTATTAAATCAGAATATCATGATCATATCATATCATATCATGATAAAAAGTAAGAAAACATAAATCCCTGCCTATTTTAGCAAGAAATCACAAACTGCGTCGTACATACTCTCCAAACAGCGCGGCTATCATTGGAAATTTGTGACTTATTTACTAGTAAAAACAAAAGGAGCTCAATGTCGTTAATGGGAACGAAATATATTGAAATGAGAGTAAGAAGATCGAAGAATGACTGACACTGTGAACTGGACGATCAGGAAACGCTGCAATTGGTCTCTTTTGATAAAGGGAAATGGTTGGGGAATGCCGTTTAGGTTTTCTGGGATTAAGCCTTTATCCATACCCGCTCAAAATCCAGTTCAAATGAATGAATATGGCTCTGTTTAATACCAGGTCTATCCCTCAATGCAAGTCGTCATAACTAAAAACATGGTCTTTTATAATTCTATCTGAACAATATAATTTATTTTCAAAATCATTCTGAGACACCGTATTTCTCACATATTAACCTCGCCACAGTTCCAACAATCGGCTTCAAATCTTTATAGTCAGGAAGCCAAGGACTATCGGGGGTTCGTCGCAAATCAATAATGAAATTACTGGCCACACCCATCCATTCCTCGATCCCTACACGCTCTTGATAATTTGGCAATCCAATGATATCAACCGAAATGTTGGCAGCACGAAGATCTTGAGCCACACCAATAGTTTTTTGAGAATTGATAAAAGTTGTATACGTTTCCCAAGTATTTCCATCCGTCAACAGTAATGTCACTTTTGGAACATTGCGTCCTCGAGTCGAATATGGCGAAAGACAGAGTTCTCTCACATTACGCAGTGCATCGTCTGTTTCAGTGTATAACTTGTGTGCGTTCGGAATGGATTCAATAGTTTGATGGACGCATGCGTTGTCTTGGCAGTCTTTTCCCAATGAGTGCTGATATACATCAGTATTGTAGCTACTTACACCAATCATGGCGTGATCCCACTTAGGTTCATCCACAGCGTTCTCATCATAACTCACCAAGAATGAATCAGAAAGCTCTTTCAAAAATTCCTTCGCCAATATGATGTCGCTCACTTTAATGCTAATGCTCCGGTCAAGGACATAGCAGAGATCGATCGTTGCCATGCAACTATCTTAAACATTAAAAAGATACAACTTCATTATTTAGAGCGGGCTTAATTTTCCATTGCTATCATGTTGCGCCTTGCTTTTATTAGATCCAGATCCCTTAGCTATGTTTTGTAATTCTTGGAATATGAATATGGAAATACAAATGGTAAAAATGTAGCAAGCTTTTGCCAAGGAGGCCACTTATTCAAATAATTCCAGAGAAATCACAGTTGTCATCCTCGGCCCCAAAAATGGCCAAAATAACTTCGAAGGTGCTCAGAATGGGGAAGACCTGCATGATGTTGAATGGACTTTTGGCCGGGGGTTGGTTGGTTTAGTAGAGAGGTATCGCACCACGTATTTTAGTTCAACGGATGAGTCTAATTACAAGATATCGCAACTAATTATAAAGGAAAGAAAAATACTAGAATAAAACAGTTAATGATTTCTGCTGTGGTGTGTCCATTACTTCCAAGGACCACTCGTGGATGATGTAAACTGGGAAACAAATATATAATTATACTTACAACAACAAGGCCAGAATTTAACCAGATCCTCGAAGAAGCGATGGCCAAGCTTTTCCAAATCTGTGTTATTTTCTACTGTATGATAATATCGCATCCTTGTTACCAACGATTCAAAAACATCGTGTTTTTCTGTTGGGTATTTTCCATTTTTGTTTGGCAGTTGAACTACCATTGTAGATATACCAACGTCCGCATTTATAGCCCCCTGTTCAATTGTGTCTACAAGAGCCTGCTCCCTTGCCTTTATAGAATAAGAAAACCAAAAACATAGAATTACTAAGCTCCCTTTCACTTTTTTCACAAACATAACCCGATATGATATATTAATAGCATCTCTCTCAGAAGGATATAAATGATGTTCAAAACTTGAAGAGACATTTCTTCACTTACTTTATTTGACAAGAAAGGAACGCCGTCAGTCATGATAATAACAACCCTTCCTCTCTTGCAACCAGTTGTCTCATCAAACCTAGGTTCTGTTCCCAATAACTCTGCCCTGCGTACCAACTCAAGGGCCTCCCACGTGTACGTCTTGCATCCTTGTGGATAGTCGTCACTAGAGACTGCCGTTTTCAACTTGGCAAGTCTTGCAAGCATTGTTTCCCTACTGGTGTATTCGTTTAGTCCAAACTCAACTCTGGCACCTCTGTCAAATGTCACCACACCAAACTGAAATAACATGGAAAGATTACATACTCTAGTCCCAGTTAATTTCGCTAATTTTGAGAAAACATGATTTCGCGGCAATTGAATTTCGCGGATTTCACAAGTTAAAATCTCATTATTCTCTGAATCCTCATGCTCTGTAAATAAATTAACATCATTTACAGTAAGTACACCTCTATTACATCGTCATTTTTCGTATATTTGATTTAATAAGATACTGTAAAATTAAAGACATTGTTGCTTAGACTCCCATTTATCGCCTAATAAAACTGAAAAACGTTTTACAAATCACGAAATGCAATGGAGTTCCAGGTTATAAGAAATTCACAAATCCCCAGGGATTCCGCGAAGATTATTTTTTGCGATTTTACCACAATCTCGAAAAGCGCGAAACTAAATCGCACGCGAAAACTACCGAAAGTACAGTACACGCAAACATGTACATTCACGGGGATTTAGTGAGCAAAATAGCTTGAGATATAAAACACAAGTAATCAATTAATTGAAATGGTAGCCTTAGTAGAACAATTGATATTATTTTCGAGTGTGAAAATTGATCAAATGAATAATCTGGCTTTGCTTAAAAAATCTAACCTAAAAACCTAATACCAAGAACATAAAGTCATGAACACGGTCGCTGCAATGATTTGAAACTATGCCATCAATTTTGTTAGAAAATGACCGTTTCATCCAGAGCCCCTGGCGCAAATTCCATCAGACACATTATGCGTTTGTATTAAATACGTAGCCCTATATGCACTTAATCTAATTTTCATTAAATAACATTCTGTATTAACACCGGATTAACACATGGCTATAAAGGGAAGAAATTAGTTATAGGTCAGTAAAGTGAAATTTATTTTTTCTCAAAAATCCATGGGATGCGAAAATGATTCTCAAAATTGACTTTGACATATTTGATACTCCGTAACCTTGAGAATTCTCGACAACTAAAAAGCTTTTGATAACCTACCCTCGCCATCTTATCACCTACTCTAGATGCGTTGACAACAGTCTCTACAATTGTCACCATTTTGCCGCGGTCTTCCTTTTCAATACTACACGAAGTGTCTAGCAAAAATACGATATCTGCGCAGATATCTGAAGTAGAAATGAGATTCGACGTTCATCATCGTCAGTGATTATTGTGCGGTATTGTGGTTCTTTTATTACTTACTTTTTTAAATTTTCTTATTCATGTTTTATTTAGGTTTGTTTGACTTATTTTGACTGTAGTTTTACGATTAGTGTGGTTAATCCATACATTTAAACATATTGTACAAATAGTGACTGCCATTGAGGGAAATAGTGCAAAATATTTTCCTCAAGGGAATATCCTGTCCACTGACATGTTCCCGAGGCTGCAGGCCGAGGGAACAAGTCAGTGGACAGGATATTCCCGAGAGGAAAATTTTTACACTATTTCCCGAAAATGTGGCAGTCACTATTTGTTTTATTATATACCTGATAAGTACTCTGTAAACAAAAACAAAATGAGAAGTCTTTTCATTTCAATATCAAATGTTCACAGGTTCTTATTGGCATTTAAAGGCATTTTACCTTTCAACTCCTATAATCTCAGATTTGGGGGAAGATAAAACGTACTATTGACTGGTCACATTACCTAACTGGTGATTAGTACAATTCATCTTCCCTGAAAGCAGGGACTTAGGACTTTCCAGGGAATTAGTTCATCTATTCCATGTCATGTGACCATGAATAAGCCAATGAGCATCTAGAATACATTTGAGGTATATAATAAACATAAATAATGACTTACATTTCGCCTCTTCTACTGTATCCTTCATACCGAATAATCGATCATAATCGTACACTTCAATCTTACTAAATACTGACCCAAAACAGCCCAAAAGTATCAAATTGGCAAGTCCGGACATCATTGCAGAAACTAAAATTAAATCGCAATCATTGGGCGTTCGATTGACAACATTATTCATAAGTAAGTCAGACAATGTCACTTTGGAAAGTTGCATGACGCTTATGTACACAAGTTTGATAGAAGTAAAAGTTATCGATTCAATAAAAGATCGCTGAACAACTCGGACAGAAGACAAATCTGTTTAAAGACATGTTCAACTTCTTTTAAAAATGACTATTTTTCATTCAAGGGGATTTTTATTCATCTAATCTTTTGTAGGTTGAATTAATTTTTTTATAAATATTTTAATGATTTTTCTGTCTACTTGTATTGCTCGTGTATACTAGTGTATATAAGAATTTGATGCAAAAGACGGAATGGTGATGTCTATTGTGTAGAACTAAAAAAAACATATTACAATTTTCAATTAGCCTAAATTAAAAATGGACTTTCTTTTCTGATAACTTTAAGAATAAAATATGTATGAATGAAAAAAGTCTGCTAGTAATTCGTATTTGTCTCTGAATAAAAACAAACAACAAAGAAATAATTAGAAATTTAAATCAAATATGAAAAGCAGTACATATTTATTGTCGAGTTGCCTTGGGTCCAAAATGTCTTTGCGTTACAATTTTTCCAATTAAAAATACGAATACTCAAGAAAATATATTTTAACCTACCTTTGACGAGGAGTTATCGTTAGGCAATCTTGAACCTTGTGGTTTTATATACGTAATCACATTTCATTATCGCCCATACGCCATATATTTTAATTGTACAACACTTGAATGATTTTTTTATTGGACAATTTTTAGTCGCGCTTCATATCACTGAATATAAATGGTGAAATCAAGCTCCATATTATACTTTTATTCTTATGTGTAAAAAGATAATACTGCAGTAAAATGTTAATATGACGTTACCGATATGACGACCTCTATCCGAACACCTGTCTACAATTTACCGTTTTTATTCAACAAAATATTTTCTTAGAATAGCCTAACTCTAAAACGTTTGCTCTCATTTACTTTCATGTATTAGTAAGATTTTTCTATAGCAGTGTAATGAACACTTAAGTAACTTTTAAAAGATTATAAGTAAACATTTTATTTTGGCAAATCCATTGGAATTCATATCGTCTCCGTCTTTGCGTAAACATAGAAGTTTATCATCAGTAAACGTCAGTTTGTCTTGCCATTGTTATCGTTTTCTTAATTTCTACATCCCATTCGTATTGTAATGTATATAAACTAAAACAGAGGGCGCATGTGTTGGTAGCCAGCGACTATAAATAGGGCTAACTAAAGTTTGATCCATTTAAGTATGACACGACGGCAGAGGCAGCGTTATAATTGTGGATGCACTGAAAGACATTCTTAAAATTAAACACAGATATTCATAGTTGCCGAAATCAAATCGAGATTGTATGAAGATCATACACATATGTTGGACAATATGTAATAACCTTAGAAAGGATCATATTTTGAAAGTCACATTTTTTAAGTAGAAATACGGCAAAGTGCTGGGAAACAAGACATTTACTTAGCCTGCAGTGAACACTTGCCTACACTGTGAACGTTTTTCTCGGCAAATGATGTTCACTAAGGACACGCTTTACTGTACGTGACTAATTTTAGTTGTCGTTAATTTCATTACAACGATTTAAAATCAATTAAAAATTGTTACTAAACATTATTACCATTTTAGAATTACATTAATAGTTATTAATTAGAATATTCATGGAATGAATCATATATGCTGTCAATCTGTCATCATTTTGCAATTAAATTGATGACATGTGAAATTACACTTGATACGACGTCGATACTTGATACTGTAACACACGGCATTTTACTGCATTTCTACATGCCTACTTACTTTTAAAACCGCGATATCTCGACAGCAAAATCATATTTTTCTACAATATTTTGTTATTATTTGAACATATATGTCCATGAAGTATTTTGCCTATCGGGATTCAAAATAATTAGTTTGGAACTTTTTAATTGAGAATTACGCAAGCCGTATTATGTGACTTTCTACGTTAAAACCGGGTGTAGACTGTCACATTTTGAAGAAAAATGATTTTAATTTTAAACGAAAAATGGAGATAACTTTTTTATTTCTAAACGGATCTTTCTCAAATTTTCACAATATTTAAATTCACCATTTTGAAAAAGACGAACAGATTCTGTGTGATGACGTCATAGTATAACAATGCTAACTTAACGCTTATATTTATGCCAAAAAGTGTGGACAGGCAGCATTTCGTACCAACAGCATATATCTTTTGATCAATTAAACATTAAATCAATCGAAAGGTGAATTATTCTTTTTTGATTCCTTAAAGGCATATCATATTCTACATTTTTATCAAAAAATATCATTTCGATTAAAATTCAATCTGTAAGAAGTATAAATTGAAAGAAATATGAAGTGAACCCATGTGAAAATTTACAAAATTACATTTCATTTTTTGTGTTTAAATATCTCTAATTGAGTGATAAACTTTCAAAACGTTCCAATGTTTCAAGATGTTATTTTAATTATACCCCTTACTATATACAACTAATTTCATTCAATTGGAACCAGTATATAATGAGATAGACATCACTTTATTATCGCAACCCCAGGTGAAGCCTTTACAAAATAAGACGTTACGTCGTTAGCGTATTATACGAGGGGTGATCCAAAAGTCTTGGACGCCCCGCTCTAACTTTGCTATTTTCTTATATAATTACACGAGACTTTCAGATAATAAAGATCAACATCTTAACAACTTTGTGTGTACGTTTCAACAGAAACTAATATATTTTAGCTACCTTTCTAAATACTTTTTGATACCGGTGTAAAAGGGTAGGTGGTCCTATCAAATTATGGTCCTACTCTCCATTGATTTATATGGTGACCTAAATACAACTCTTTCCCTCATTATCTTATACGCAATCAGGGCCAGTAAGGGCTGTTAAGAAAGGGGACCATAATCCCTGGGGGACCATCATTTCTTTCACACCGGGTCCCTGCCACCCGGAACGGATTTAAATATAGCAAATCAAGTCACAACTGTTATAATATGGCAAATACTTTAGGTGCAGGTGCACAACCTAACACCAGTCATGATATGAGAGAATTTCCGATTTTCAGTCTGAGTGTCATCTGCCATCATCATCTTCGCATATTAAGACCTACTTTTCAACATATTTTTCACGAATTTGAACACATTTTTCATACCGCTTTACCAATGAATGAAAGACATTTATGAAACGGCAATTGCCTATGTGATACAAATGCTACTGGAGTGCCACTCTAAACCTCATCTAATGAGTAAAAAACATTTTCTTTCAACCATCCTTTCAACTTGGAGAAAAGGAAGAAAATCACACGGAGCCATATCTAGACTGTATCGTGTATATTGAAGCTGCTCAATGTCAATAATAGTGAAAATATATTGTAGTATTCTTTGTTCCACTTTGATTTCTTTCATGTTCTGCATTTCAGCAGCCATCTTGGAGCAAAAATGACACCAAAATGAGGGTTGATTGTCTGATGTCATTTTCTTAGAACTTGACATATACGGCCATTGCCATATGGGACATTATGATTTAAACACAAATAATTGGTTGCCTAGTAACAAAGGAAGTAAACTAACATGGTTGAACATTCAAAATTTAAGGAAAGATAGTGGTCAAGACTTGCAAAACAAGTCAAATAGCAGCAACATTTAAGGCTGAAAGTTGCCACGTGCAAATACCGTTCCGGGTGGCAGGGTCACTATATTAATAACTATCGGGAAAACTACATAAAATATATCATTTCACCATGAAATTAATACACAAAGTAGTTAGGCTGTTGGTCTTTATTATTGGAAAGTTTAAAGTAATTTTATCAAAAACCAACAAAATTAGAGCAGGACGTCCAAGACTTTTGGATCACCCCTCGTATGTTCTCCTTTATTATTCATTGCTTTAACTAAATAAAACTAAATAATCGAGTTGAAATAAATAACAAATAATACATTTAACAATCCTTAATATTTTCCCGTCCGTGTATATCAGTTGAATATGACAAGGGGCTTTGTAAAATGACGGTGCGACAACGAGAGCGCAGACCGAAAAGCGCGACAAAAAAGAAAACGGGTAGTGTTTGAAATGTCTACTTTCTGGTGATTCTAATTCTGTATATCGTGACACAATCTTTTTGAATATAGAACAGTATTGAAGCGCACATTAATCTGAACAAAACTTGAAATTTTTAATCCACGGATATTAAAACTTTTGCAATAACTTGGAGGATTATTGCGCGTATTTATCGCGTAAATCTTCGCATTTTTGTCGGTACAATGGACAATTACAATTGTTACGCCGTGATGTACATTATCTGACGTCGTATCGCTTGCGTTTGATGCGATCATGATAGTTTATAACGAAATTTAATGTCGTTATGGGAAAGAAATATATTGTAATAAAAGTAAGAAGATTGACGAATGGCTTACACTGTGAACTCTTGTTTACTAATACCATCTACATTTTTGTAACACCCCAGTCACATTTGTCGTGAGGCGGCCGTAAGTTGACCACAGATCAGTGAATCAGTGAATTTCTATAGATTAAAAATAAATAACATTTATCAACAGAAATTCAATATTTGCCGTGCGTCTGCCATAGGACTCGATGTGATCGATGAGCTATATTATAAAGATACGAAAATATCTTGAGTAAAGGATCTCAGAATCCGAACATTACTTGACTAATCTGTTGAGATCCGATGATATCGTCGAGTTTATGACGTGCTGATGGTGAAATGGTCTTACGTTAGGGCTACCTTTGGGAGTTTTTGATCCTTGATTTAATTGCCTTTATTAGAAGGGTTCCTCGTTATTAATACTATTGTATCATTTTGAACCAGACTGACACAGTAGAAATTAGATTATGAACACTGGAGGATAGGAATAGCGCGGAATTGCATTTAAATCAATTATTATCCATATTCATGGATAAAAATGAATATGTTTCACGTTCCTAATCTCTACTGGTCAATCTGTCTTCATTTTAGTAGCCGTTGTACTGATATCTTATCTTAGTCAAAATTGAGAGCGAGTGAGTATAACGGGACTTTTAACTCTGCACATTTTAGATCAATCAAAAAATATAACTATTTTTCATATGTTTACCGTCTTGGTAGATACAAAACAACACGTATAATATTCTAATTAAACGAATTTTCATATTTCGTGGCCTCATTCCGTTAAGAGTGGTATCGAACCATTGATTTAAATGTTTTATATAATCTCTTTGTATAACACCTGTTCAGTTTGAGTAAATAATTTTGAATAAAACATGGCAACGAGGTCGAAGGACCAAAGTTCGTACCAAAATCATCGGATTATGAGCATTGCCACATTCAAATATTTAGAAGTTGAATTTAGCGATTTGATGGTAAATTTTGAATTAAAGGGTTCCGATAAGCATCCCGTATAAAAACAATATGGCGGCTCCAGGCGAATCAACTGGATCAGTCCATTTTTAAGAAATAAGGGGAGTTCTGTAAAATCCAGTTTATTGAAATTGTCTTCGAGATAAAGTAATCCGTTTATAATGATTTTGAAAACGTTATCCATAGAGTGATTGCGTTCAAACAGTACATGTACAACAGCCAATATAAATCCTTGTATTAGAACTGCTTTGTTTCATTTGTAGGATATTTCATATGCCAAGCTGTGTGCTATTACGTTATGGGGAAATTTAGATGCCAATTTTTCCTTATTATACTCAAATAGAAGATCCTGAAACTTACCCATGAATTTGGAATTGATTTGTCCAAATAAAAATCACCCTTTTATAAATGTGTGACGATCTATACTATACTTATGCTATATAACAGTTAGAGGTGCTGACACAACGACATCGAACCTGTGAACCCTTGAGTATTATTCCGGGATCGGGCCTTTTATACTAAACGGTGAGCAACACCAGAAACGAGCGTTCGATTTGCTAAACGATATGCGTCACCCTTTAAGTACTCATTATTTTGCAAACATGAGTGCCTGGAACAACAACTATATCGTTTTCAAACAATTCTGTGTTTTATCTATTTCTCATATTGAGAAATTCAATATATAAACAGGAGTTTATTAACTCCCCCCCCCCCTACATTTTCAGACATCTTTGGGTCTTTTCTCGGCAGTAGGTTGTATATAGGCAGGTAGACTTTCCCCCCGTGAGAACTATCCCTATCAAGTCGTCATAACTAAAAACAGGGTCTATTATAATTCTATCTGAACAATATAATTTATTTTCAAAATCATTCTGAGACACCGTATTTCTCACATAATAACCTCGCCACAGTTCCAACAATCGGTTTCAAATCTTCATAGTCAGGAAGCCAAGGCTTATCGGGGGTTCGTCGCAAATCAATAATGAAATTACTGGCCACACCAATCCATTCCTCGATCCCTACACGCTCTTGATAATTTGGCATCCCAATGACATCAACCGAAATGTTGGCAGCACGAAGTTCCTTAGCCACACCAATAGTTTTTTTGAGAATTGATAAAAGTTGTATACGTTTCCCAAGTATTTCCATCCGTCAACAGTAATGTCACTTTTGGAACATTGCGGCCTCGAGTCGAATATGGCGAAAGACAGAGTTCTCTCACATTACGCAGTGCATCGTCTGTTTCAGTGTATAACTTGTGTGCGTTCGGAATGGATTCAATAGTTTGATGGACGCATGCGTTGTCTTGGCAGTCTTTTCCCAATGAGTGCTGATATACATCAGTATTGTAGCTACTTACACCAATCATGGCGTGATCCCACTTAGGTTCATCCACAGTGTTCTCATCATAACTCACCAAGAATGAATCAGAAAGCTCTTTCAAAAATTCCTTCGCCAATATGATGTCGCTCACTTTAATGCTAATGCTTCGGTCAAGGACAAAGCAGAGATCGATCTTTGCCATGCAATTATCTGGAACATAAAAGAGATACAACCTTCATTATTCAGACCAGGCTTTTCCATATACCTGGGTCAGATTTGCTCCGATTCATCGGTCGGCGCCCGGCCGATTGAGTTAAGGAATAAATAATGATAGGCCATTCAATATGGTGAAATTCAGCACGAGTTGGACAGAATGTTGTACAAAGCACGAACCGAAGGTGAGTGCATTTGTACTAACATTCTGTCCAACGAGTGCTGAATTTCACCATATTGAATGGCCTATCATTATTTATTCCGATTCAAACATAAAAATTAGTAAAAGACGTGTCTGTGGAACGGGCATGAAGGAAGAATACGCATGCTGTCAAGATTCTGAAGTCGGCCGGAAAAATGTTAGAATTTGTTTGGGCTGTTCTATTTTACTCCCCGTTTTAGACAAAACAAGGAAGTCAGCCATAGTTAAACAGTTACAGTAATTAAGGAGGGAGTAAAAAGAACAGCTATCCCCGGACAGAGCCCCAGATATGCAGCTGATATGTGACGTCACTCAAAACCATGCACATTGCAGATTGAATAGAGCATGGTCGTGCATCTATGGAGAATTAGAGAACGTTCTATATTGGCTATGCTGCATTCTGATTGGTTGAGAAATTCGAATAGAGCACGGTCATGTTTGAATATTTTATTCAAAACTGAATGCAATTAAGGAATAAATAATGATAGGCCATTCAATATGGTGAAATTCAGCACGAGTTGGACAGAATGTCGTACAAAGCACGAACCGAAGTGAGTGCATTTGTACTAACATTCTGTCCAACGAGTGCTGAATTTCACCATATTGAATGGCCTATCATTATTTATTCCGATTCAAACATATAAAAAATGAAAACATTGTTCAGAGAATTGGGGATTGGAGCTACATGAGATACACCAAACTCGAGCTCGCTGTTATTTTCGCCATTCCCAGGTGTGACGTCACAATGCAAATACAATACGTAGATTCCCGGATGATTGGATAGAGCACGGTCGTGCATCTATGGAGAATTAGAGAACGTTCTATATTGGCTATGCTGCATTCTGATTGGTTGAGAAATTCAATTAGAGCACGGTCATGTTTGAATATTGAACAAAACACTCAATAGACCAGGCGCCGGCCGAATGATCGGGGCAAATGTGACAGACATTACAGCGGCATGAAATTCATGTGATCACTGATAATCGACTAACGGGTTATTCATTAAATCAACTTCAATATGACGGGTTAATTTATCAAAACCCGCTAGCCGAGAGCCGAAAGTTGCATTCGCGAATACAAGCTAAACTATTACATATCGGCAGTTAACCGTTAACTGGTTTAACATCGACAGCTATAATATTATTCGCTGGTTAAATGTGTTCTGGTAAAGGAGTTGGGTACTTCTTGGGAGACACAGTCCAGTTTTGGGTTTGGTGTGTCTCATGTGTCTAGCTATGTGCATGGCTAGTATAATTACATAAAATCGCAATACAGCGTGTCTAAAAAATGTTACATGATTTTGACTTTTCCCCTAAAATATACTTAGATACCGAAAGACCCGTCTTCTCTAATAAATTCACACCATCAGATTCAAAATCCGTCCATGAGTGGCTGCACAGGACAGATTTTATAGACGCATGTGAAATCTGATTTGCGCCAACTTCTCAGTGGCTGGACATGTAGTGATCAATTTTTTGGTGTGAATGCTGTGGACGGTGATATCTTAATACGATCAATGATCCAGTTGTTTCTTTCCTGGATAGAAATACAAGATTCCATTGTCAGAGTGTTCAACTTTGTTACGTATGATGGCAACAGGATGGTGCAAAGTTTGGTAGAACTCTTTGGAAATCAGAAGATAGCATTGAATCACCCTAAGGGATTGGCCCCAGGGTCATCCCACTTTACACCCTTGATTTTTTGAAGGGCTTCTGAAAGCACTTTACAACATCACAAACTGACCTAAATGAACTTCTGCGAAAATAATTGATGGAATCGGTGTGATATTACGATGCATGTGCGCATGGGCAAGGGTACCTCAGATTTGCTTTGGAGAACATGTTGAAGGGACCACATATTTATGTGGATAGACCCAACGATCATATGTAAGACAAATAGGGAAATTACAGAATGACCCAATTAAAGGTCAAGCTTCAACTCAGGAGAAAGTTAAATGTTAAAGAAACTGTTCCTCTTTTGTCGTTTGGTCCATCCAATCACTTAGAAGTTGGCGCAGGTCAGAATTTACCATCATGGGACACTAAAAGCTGTCTTGTGCAGTCAATCAATGACAGATTTTGAATCTGATAGTGTCAAATTTTTGAGAAAGATTTGTCTTTTGGTATCCAAAGTATATTGTAGGGGAAAGTCAAAATTATGAAAGATATTGAACTTTCTGTAAGTGCAACAATTTTTGAGACATACTTTATAAAGGCATGAGAAACCCTAGAATATAACGATAGAACAATGGATATTAATATCCTATAATGTCCTAGTGTGTTCATCAGTCCCAGGGATAATCAATAAAACAATGAAACCAAAACTATAGTATACACCCGAGTATACAAATAGAATAAAATAAATAAATAGAATAAAACGATAGAACAATGGATGTATAGTGTGTCCATCAGTCCCAGGGATAATCAATAAAACCAAAACTATAGTATACACCCGAGTATACAAATATACTTACAACAACAAGGCCAGGTTTTAACCAGATGCGTGAAGAAGCGATGGCCAAGTGTCTCTAAATCAGTTTTTATTTCTACTGTGTAATACCATTCCATTGTTGTTACCAGCGTTTCAAATACATCGTGTTTTTCTGTTGGGTAGTTACCGTTCTTGTTTGGCAGTTGAACTACCATTGTAGATATACCAACGGCCTTATTTTTATTCCCTTGTTCAATTGTGTCTAAAAGGGCCTGCTCCCTTGCCTATATAGAATAACAAAAACGTGATATTAAAAACTAACAAAAATATCGAATTACTAGAATAAGGTACCTTTCATTTTTCTATTCCAATATGATAGTTATAGCATCGTGGCTAACCACGATGTTCCAAACTTGAAGATACATTTCTTCACTTACATAATTTGACGAGAAAGGAACCCCGTCAGTCATAATAATAACAACCCTTCCCCTCTTACAACCAGTTGTCTCATCAAGCCTAGGTTCTGTTCCCAATAACTCTGTCCTGCGTACCAACTCAAGCGCCTCCCACGTGTACGTCTTGCATCCCTGTGGATAGTCGTTACTAGAGACTGCCTCTTTCAACTTGGCAAGTCTTGCAAGCATTGTTGCCCTACTGGTGTATTCGTTGAGCCCAAACTCAACTCTGGCACCTTTGTCAAATGTCACCACACCAAACTGAAATAACATGGAAAGATTACATACTGTACTCCCGGTTACTTTTGCGAGTTTTAATTTCGCGAATTTTGAGGAGACATGATTTCACAAGTTAAAATCTCATTATTCTCCGAATCCTCAAGCTTAGCCTTGCCCTAAGTCGGTCTCTTTTACTTATCTTGATTTCTATCATGACCGCCTTGTACCAATGGGAACGCCACGTGCTTAACCGACTCAATGTTTATGTCGGTAAAATTTGACCAATCAACGACGGCCCTGCAGCGTAAGCTCATTATTATGCACGGTCAAAAACAAGTACACTTTTCACCGGGACTTTTCACGAACAAATCTTGCACGAATTCATCATGAAAATACAAATACTTTATCAGATAAATACCAATCAGGGTTTAGTGGATGCCGGGGCATCGATCGGATAAACGGAGGTGAGAAAATTTCAACAATAAACGTTGAAACGATCGCTGAATTCAAATGATCGAACATGTAGGCTGAGAAGACTAGGTCTTCATGCCTTTTCATCGCGAAATCAGTTTTAAATCAACATTTAATTTATATTAATGAATCTTACATTCCAATGTCCATTTAATTATGTAATATATTGTAACTCTAACAGAAATACTCGATCAGATCTTTGAATTTCAAGTCGTAGAGGGAAGTTTGCTTTGTTTATGCCGGTCAACCTGATAACGTTTTGATTGGTCAATCTGCCTGAAGTCACACGTCGTCTCCACGCGATCTGTCAATCAATAAAGTTTTGCGATACCTCTGATACTGTAGGTATTATGGAAATCTCGAAACCGTTGAATATCTCAGCATAATATCAGAGGAGATGTATTGGATTGTACAAGGCGGTAATAATTCAAGATCAGATAAGTAAAAAAAATACCGACTTGAGCAAGGCTACCTCAAGCTCTGTGAATAAAGTAACCTCATGGACAGTAAGTACACCTCTATTACATCGTAATTTTTTCGTACATTTGATATAATAAGATACAGTAAAATACATTGTTGCGTAGACTCCCATTTATCGCCTTATAAAACTGAACCAACGTTTTACAAATCACGAAATGCAATGGAGTTCCAGGTTATAAGAAATTCACAAATCCCCGGGGATTTAATTTCACAATTTCGCGAAGATTATTTTTTGCGATTTTACCACAATCTCGAAAAGCGCGAAACTAAATCGCACGCGAAAACTACCGAGAGTACAGTACACACAAACATGTACATTCACGGGGATTTAGTGAGCAAAAGAGCTGGAGATATAAAACACAAGTGATCAATTAATTGAAATGGTAGCCTTAGTAGAACAATTGCTATTATTTTCAAGCGTAAAAATTGATCAATTAGATAATTAATTACATAGCCCTATATGCACTAAATCTAATTTTAATTAAATAACATTCTGTATTAACATATGAGAACTATAAAGAGGAGAAAATTATTTTTCCCAAAATCCATGGGATGCGTAAATGATTCTCAAAATTGACTTTGACATATTTGACACTGCGTAACCATGGGAATCCTCGACAACTAAAAAGCTTTTGATAACCTACCCTCGCCATCTTATCATCGACTCTAGAACCCTTGACAACAGACTCTACAATTGTCACCATTTTGCCGCGGTCTTCCTTTTCAATACTACACGAAGTGTCTAGCAAAAATACGATATCTGCGCAGATATCTGAAATAGAAATGAGATTCGACGTTAACCATTTTATTTTGACTGTAGTTTTAAGATAAGTGTTGTAAATCCATACATTTAAACATATACCATCGAGTTTCCTATAAAGTTTCCAGTATAATGTCGAATAGCATGATGAAAATTAATTTTGTATAACCATGAAATTCGCAACTACCTAATGAGCGTGAATAATGACTTACGTTTCGCCTCTTCTACTGTATCCTTCATATTGAATAATCGATCATAATCGTACACTTCAAGCTTACTAAATACTGACCCAAAACAGCCCAAAAGTATCAAATTGGCAAGTCCGGACATCATTGCAGAAACTAAAATTAAATTGCAATTATTGGGCATTCGATTGACAACATTATTCATAAGTCAGACAATGTCACTTTGGAATGTCGCATGACGCTTATGTATACAAATTTGATAGAAGTAAAAGTTATCGATTCGATGAAAAATCGACAAATCTGTTCGCAGACATGTTCAACTTCTTTTAAAAATGACTATTTTTCATTCAAAGTGATTTTTATTCATCTAATCTTTTGTATGTTGAATTAGTTTTTTTATAAATATTTTAATGAATTTTTCTGTCTACTTGTATTGCTCGTGTTTACTTGATTATATAAGAATTTGATGCAAAAGAAACATCGGAATGGTAATGTCCATTGTGTAGAACTAAAAAAACATTTTAGAATTCTTAATATACCTAATTTAAAAATGTTATCTGGTAACTTCAAGAATAATATATGTGTGAAAGAAAAGGAGTCTGCTCGTTTTTCGTATTTGTCTCTGAATAAAAACAAGCATCGAAGAAATAGGTAGAAATCTAAATAAAATATGAAAAGCAGTACATAATTATTGTCGAGTTGCCTTGGGTTCAAAATGTCTTTGCGTTGAAAACAATTTTCCCAGTTAAAGATATAAATACTTAAGAAAAAATCTATTTTAAACTACCTACCTTAACCTACCTTAGACGATGAGTTATATCGTTAGGCAATCTTAACCCATGTGGTATTATATACGGAATCACGTTTCATTATCGCCCATGGGCCATCTATTTTAATTATACAACACTTGAATGATTTTTTAGAGACATTTGGTTCATTTATTTTTAGTCGCGCTTCATATCACTGAATATAAATGATGGAATCAAGTTCCATGTTATACTTTCATTCTTACATGTATATGTAAAAAGATATGACGACCTCTATCCGAACACCTGTCTACAATTGACCGTTTTTATTCAGCAAAATATTTTCTTAGAATAACTCTAAAACGTTTGCTTTCATTTCCTTCCACGTTTCTATAGCAGTATAATGAACACCATAGAGTCACTGTCGTTACGTATACATTGGGTTTTGTCATCAGAAAACATCAGTCACTGTTATCGTTTTTTAATTTTTAAATCTTAATCGTATTTAATATATGATAAAATGTACAGAGGGCGCAGGTGTTGATAGCCAGCGACTATAAATAGGGCTAACTAAAGTTTGATCCATTTAAGTATGACACGACAGCCGAGGCAGCGTTATAATTGTGGATGCACTGAAAGACATTCTTGAAATAAAACATAGATTTTCATAGTTGCTGAAATCTAATCGCGCTTGCATATAAATCATACACATATGTTGCACAATATTTAATAACCTAAGAGATTAACATATTTTGGAAGTCATTTAATAAGTAGAAATACGGTTAAAGTGCTGCGAAACAAAACATTTCTATAGCCTGCAGTGAACACCTGCCTACACTGTGAACGCTTTTTCTCGGCCAATCATGTTCACTAAGCACAGGCTTCACTGTACGTGACTAATTTTAGTTGTCATTAATTTCATTGCAACGATTCAAAATCAATTAAAAATTGTTACAAAATATTATTACCAATTTAGAATTACATTATTTGTTATCAATATACATGGAATGGATCATATATGCTGTCAATCTGTCGTCATTTTGCAATCAAATTAATGGTATGTGAAATGACACTTGCGTTTGATGCGATCATGATAGCTGAAATGCAAATTTTACGACCATGAATTTCTTTCTATGAGTATCAAGCGTATTTAGAGGAGATAAAACCTTCTCTTTGTGAGCATACCTTGTGTATAGTCATGAAAACTTAATTAATAAGCAATAAATAATTAGATAACATTGAAATATTTATTAAGTCAGCACAGGAAGAGATCATATCATGTTATTTGCTATAATTTGCAATAAACCCTAGTTGCTAGAAAACTGGACTTCAATGAGAATTTAACATTACACATTCAATCTATCAGATTTTCCATTCTGAAAATATTTCAGTAGGTGGATTTAAGGATTTAAGCCCTGGACTGAGTGCATTGCGGACTGAATCATTCCTCAAGAAGGTGTTATTTTAACCTTTGCACGAGATGCGCAGCATCGAATGTGAAGTTTAGGTAATAACGCCCGGGGAATGAATCGGCTATGATGCATCAGGCCTTGGGCAAAGTTTGAATTTCAATCTGTAGAGTCATTTTGTTGCCTTGACAACCATTCAACGAATGAACTTGGGTGGTTAGTTGTTTATATAATGCAGTGCAGTTATGTGAAATACTGTGTTCGGATTGGCTGGAATTGGACACACCGTGCCTAACGTCTACTACGATCTTTCCAACGATAGAAAATCTGATATTATCAGTGTCCTCTTGTTAAAAGAAGGATAGGATTGAAGAGGACTGCGAAAAGAACTGCAACAGCCCTTGATGTTTCAATGATAACTGTTCTGGGAACCGTAAACAGGGATGGTGGTAAATAAGTGTTGTCTGAATAATTGATTAATTGAAATTAATCAAAAGACATTCTAGCTGAATATTTATAAAAAGCTTGATTTGTACATTTGAGATGGTCCCTGGCATGATAATACATATCCTCCAAATACCTTTATAAAAAACATTGAATCACAAATTCATTGGGGACAGAGGCATTCCATCAGCAACATATTGCTTTTTCATGTTTAAAAATGTCTATTGAAAATTATAGCAGAAATACTTATTCCTAATTCATTGAAATAGACGTTAGTACCATAAATATGATATACTGCATATATGTGAAATATACATTCGTTTAATAGACAATCAAATAACCATAATAAATGTTTAATAAATGTTTAAGTCACTTTATTTCCAGTGCATAATTCATTACGTACACCATGAGCGTTGACAGACACGAGGCACTGGGGCAGGCAAGGCAATTGCCCCATCAACATTTTACAGACGATATTAATTTAAACATTATTTTGAAACATTATATTGGTCTAAATTCAACTTTCCCATCGTGATAAAACTCCTACATATAATGATATGATACTGTCCTGGGCGCGCGTTTTGAATAAAAGTAAACATTTCTTTTCTCGGGAAAATAAGGCATTTCCCTCTGAGTAAAACTCCAATAATACGATTCTGTGCGCGCGTCTTTTATAATAAAAGTAAACATTTCTTTCCTCGGGGAAATAAGGTATTTCCCTCGTAAGTAAAACTCAAATAAAACGGTTCTGTGCGCGCGTCTTTTAGAGTAAAAGTAAACATTTTTTTCCTCGGGGAACTAAGTCATTTCCCTCTGTTTAAAACTCAAATAATACGGTTCTGAGCGCGCGTCTTTTATAGTAGAAGTAAATATTTCTTTCCTCGGGGAAATAGGCATTTCCCTCTGTTTAAAACTCAAATGATACGGTCTTGTGCGCGCATCTTTTCTTAGTAAAAGTAAACATTTCTTTCCACGGGGAAATAAGGCATCCCCTTATAAGTAAAACTCATTTAATACGGTTCTGTGCGCGCGTCTTTTATAGTAAAAATAAACATTTCTTTCCTCGGGGAAATAAGGCATTTCCGTCGTGAGTAAAACTCAAATAGTTCGGTTGTATCTTTTATAGTAAAAGTGAACATTTCTTTCCTCGGGGAAATAAGACATTTCCCTCGTAAGTAAAACTCAAATAATACGGTTCTGTGCGCGCGTCTTTTATTGTAAATTAAGTGAACATTTCTTTCTTCGGGGAAATAAGACATTTCCCTCGTAACTAAAACTCCAATAATACGGTTCTGTGTGCGCGTCTTATAAAGTAAAAGTAAACAGTTTTTTCCTCGGAAAATAAGTTAGACATTTCCCTCTAAGTAAAACTCAAATAATACGGTCCTGTGTATACGTCTGAAATAAATGTAAATATTTCTTTCCACGAGAAAATAAGGCATTTCCCTCCTACTAGGTAAAACTCCAATAATACAGTCCTGGGTGCGCGTTTTTCCTCAGGAAAGAAAGCAATTCTGAATGTTATATATTCGTAACGTCCATTTATTTGGAAATTACATTGATCCCTAATCTGAAGTTCATTTCTTGACGTAGATTTAGAATTATGAGGAGTTGCTGCCTAGCCAAAAAAGTTGTAAAATACCCTTGTTGTATCCAAGGTCATCTACAAATATGCGTATATTTAAGTGAAATACCAAGCATCGATATGCTAGTAAAAGACATTAAACAGCCAATGCGCTTATTTTTGAAGGAAAAGGGACAAAATATTATTTGAGACATGTCACTCTCACAGTCAATCAAATATGATAAAAACTTTAATTTTGGTCAATACCGAAGTGAAAAAATACTCGCATAGAAAACAGGATTTGAAGTTCAGAGATCAAAAGAAGTGAATTACCACTTTTCACAAAGTGTATGTTTTTAAATAACTCTTGGACTAAAAGATGGCGTATGGTTGAAAATCCTATCAAAAATGAATGGACAATTAATGCAAACAACAATGCAATTTTTCTATGGCATTGCTAAAAACTTGACATCTATAAATTGATAGATCAAAAATATTTTTTCATGATCTAGTGTCAACTCTGATGTGGTCTGTTTGAGCTGTTTTTGGTGTCAAATGAAAGATCAGGTACTTATTAATCCTTTGGAAATACTATGAAGATCAAAAGTGAGACTTCATTTGCGCACTTTGTCCCTTTAATAAGTTATATGGGATAAAATACACATGGGTCACAGATGCCTCTTATTTCTGATACTAATAATATCACTCTCAGTCTACCCTACCTAATACTTAGAAATGCATAAGATACTTTGGTTGTCTAATTGTATTTTTTAGAATATTTTTGATAGTGCCTTAGAAACATCTAACATTCAACCGATAAACCATTAATAAGGACCAGACAAATAAAAACAAAGACATAATCATTACTAATAAGCCAAATGGGTTGCTCATGAACACCAAATGCAATGTATAGTAGAGTGAATATATGTTGATAACATATAACATTTTTCCATGCAAAGAATCTGCATTTATCAAAATGTAAGTCGTTGAATGATGTCAAATACAAAAAATCATTTATATCTCGGCCCCTTGTCTTCATAGCCATCATACGCTACACTCTTAGATTTAACCAATTTTGGCCGTTTATTTTTTCCATCGCCATCAGCACCGCCCATGATACTGGACCGATTCCTTTCATCACTTTTTGATTTCTGAAAGCCTTCTCGTTTATCCTTTAAGACTGCACCTTGTGTTAGTGATGCCTTTCTGTTTGCTTGTGTCAGAACTGGTTTATCCTTCACATTGTCAATGCGGCCCGTGCTTTGCCTCTCTGCGGCCTGCTGTTTCTGGCACTGGGCTATCTGGCGCTGTCTGTTCCGTAAGTGGATCTGTGTTGATTCCGTGTCGCCAGATAATCCCCTGGCGCAACAGCTAATCAACATCCCCATTGTACAGTTTCAGGCACGGTTGGATATTTAAAAACCTGAAATATGAATCAGATGTTTATATTGTATTTGAGGCTGAGTATTCTGAGCCATTAGGCCATACGTTGGGTGGTTTACCCTTAGTTATAGTTAGTTATAGTTAATAACCGCAATTGGTCTTTTGACACGTGGCCGATCTTATATTAATGTGTTCTTAGAAATACTCAATTTATGCAAACATTTTGTAAATTGGATCTCGTGACTGATTTTGCATAGGGAGATAATGCTTCGGCGTAGGCACTGTAAGTTATAATGGATTGTCTATTTTTAATTTAATGAAAACATAAACTATAAAAAATGATCGGGAAAATGTTGGTGGGGTGTTTGCACCTCCCCTGTCACAAAGTCCAAATTATTTTATCATATCTAGCAGTGCTTGTCCTGGGGTTAATGGATTGGCTCACCATATGCACATGCTCAAATCCTTGGAAAATAGGAGAAAAATTGAGATTCAGACAACATAACAAATTATGCATCAAGTCCGTCGATAATTTCCAAATGGTTAATAAAATATGTTTCCGACCAGCTCTCAAAAGGGGTTGTTTGATATTACATACTTATCAAAAGAGAAAACGTTTTATTATGTCCATAGGTTTTGTATCCTCCAACACATGCTCAACACATTCAACTCACTTCCAAACTAGATATAATTAATATAACAATCATTAAAATACTACATTGGATTAGTTTCAATTAGTTTGAAATCATTCATGTGTATTGCTGAAATTTTAAATATTTGGAGGATACAAAATATTGGACAGCAAAACCTAACTCCACCACAAAAATAACAACATTTTGTCTGATGTTTTCGTTGTCTAGCACTTAAGAGGTAACCCTGAAGGGCACTTTCTGTTGTATTGGAGGATACAAAATATTAGACAAATAGTATACCGCTTTGTATAGAAAAAGTATTTCATTGCATGGGTAACACGCATCTAGCATTGCCCTTTTAAGTCCTGAAGTCAAACATATTTTTATATAGGTTGAAAAATAGCAACGCAATCGATGTACTGTATGTGCTGTAATCCAAGTTTGCATTACCACAAACAAAACAAAAAAAGACTTTTGACAAAAAAATCATAAATTAAGCTGCTTTTGAGAAATAATAGGCAATATTTTCAAAATACATCGCAATATTATGATAACTAGCTGTGGTGACATCAAAATAGCACATATAAAATTTCGTTGGTAGCAACACACATGTCGCAGGCTTTAGTAGAACAACAGCATTTGAAAATATCAATCCTCGTAAAGGATTGGTATCGATATGGTGAACTGAATTCAACAATATTTTTCTCTTTATGTAAAAATTATTTAAATATATTTTATATAACTGTTTTTGTATATAACATAACATATAATCATTAACAAGATACTTTTTTTAAATCAACCAATCTTTCCTTTGTACAATTACAATATTGAGAGACCTTAACACGTTGTGCTCATGTCATTTTGTTCCAATGAGCTTCGGATAGATGTTTCATTTCATTCCGAACATATGATACCATGTACCAAGAACAAAAGAAGTCTGATGTGTCTTTTAAAACAATATTGAGAAAAGTATATAATACACATTTATTTAAGGAATAAAGACCAAGATTTTATGATTTATGGCGTGATATATGACCGAAATCTTTATTCTGTTCATTGTTAAAAGACCGAAATCGCGTAGCGATTGAGGTCTTTGGCAATGGCCAGAATAAAATTTGAGGTCATATATTTGCCATAAATCATAAAATTGAGGTCTTTGTTACGATTCTAATATGATAAACAGACAAGAAACACAACTATTTGCATTTATGATTTTTAGCAGTCATACATACTCCAATATAGACCGATAGATCAATTGTTCTAGCAATTGTGACATCACGTATCATATTAGAATTAGAATTATACTGTTACTATTCAAAAAATAACCATTAAATTGACAATGTGTAAAATTTTCAGAATTTTTGATGACTGGTTTAAGAGAAACGTGTGTTCAAAAAGTTCACCATATCGATACCCATCCTTAGTCCTTTATACGATCCTGAAAAAAACTTATATAGTTATTTTGAATGCTTTTCTAGTATGGCATCAAATTCAAATTCAACAATAAAATTATTTCTCACCTTTACTTTCCGATCAGATGCTAATGAAAATGTAGCACCATGTTGTTTTGAGCTAGATGCATTGTTCACTGTTCTATCCAATCACGAAGACGACCTGGATTCCTGTTAAAAAGAAATTGTATCGTAGAATGTACACAGACATTATCGTGTTGTGGGATTAAATAATGGGAAAATGATATGACAAATCCATTATTTTCACCTAATGTGTGAACACTAAGGGGTTGTACAAATTGAGAATTATTTCGCTCACCGAAGTTTAAAATACTGAATGACGAATTTTCGCGATATTAGCGAGGTTAAGTTATAAGTTTTAACGTGAACGTAAGGAGGTATGGCGCTGTTGGCAACTCATTTCACGTCCTTTCTTCCCTTCGTGGTGTTGTTAAATTGTCAGATTAAGTTTTAATAAGTAAGGAAATAGTCCTGATTTGGTAATTTTTAACAATATTTATTTACAACGTTCGCAAGAACTTCACAAAAAATGTGTAGCCTAACGTTCCTCTATTATTTTGTTTCTGAATATTATTAATTAAGATGATTTTGCCCGATATATGCCTTGCAATAAAGACAGTGTTTTTATTAACTTGAAAGGATGTTCCTCAAATTCAAAGGCGTCTCATGTTCTTATTTAGCTTGTCGCCTTTATAAACACAATATGCAGCCAATATAATGAGATTAATTCTTCATTCCTACAGAAGCGTTCGCTTTCACTGTCAGTAGGGAGGTTTAGCTGAACGTTATTAGAGAACTCGTAAATAAACGTGTAGAATCACGGTCCTTCTGGGATTAGTTCCCCTCGTATTATTCATTTGCCCGATTGAGTATAAAAGCATAGGAAAATAATTGTTATTTGGTCCCTGGAATAACGAAATGAGAATGAACAGCAATCCTCGACGGTCATCATATTATGTTCACGTTCTCTTGAAAGACGTGAGGCTTGAACCACCTAATGTCAAATTGAACCACCCCCATGCCCATAAGTGTCACATAACAAATGACCACTTGAGTAGGCCATATCATTATTTTATGCTTCAAACTGCATCCTTCATTCAAAGGACTTCATTTATTATTTAATTTCAGTCCATCATTTTAGGGGTAATAAATAAGCTGAGTTTCCTAGTGGTCAATGCAGAAAATGCGTTCTCCAATCATAATGTTCTTTACATAATTCAATAAGGATGTTTTGTCCTCCTTAAAGTAACAACTGTTCTGATTGGCTGGTGATTTAATGGCTATTTGAAAGTTTGTTTGCTCAATCCCGACAATTTTATAAGCTGCACCAAGGATATGGAAAGAAGTGAAATACCTTTGGACCAAGGATGTTCAAACTACAACATTTTCTCAATTTGTTAATACATATACACGGTAGGATTGTTTCGAATTTAATCCCCCCCTATCCCTTACCACTAAATATGGATCTGAGATTGTGAAACTAAGGGTATCATAATGTTGATCGCTAATTGATATCAAGTACATGTAATCAATTAGCGAAGCTATCTTCATTAGCTATGCATGGCGAATGACTCCACGGTGGCAAATAATAATTAAAACTAGAATTGACAAAAATGTTGATTTTTTGTGAAATATTTCTGTCCATTGTATTGCAACGTAATCATTTGCCCCTTTCACGATTGCTTATTTTCAAAATTGTCTATGTCGCCCATGGGTTTTCTTCGCATACCCCTGGGGACCTATTTGTCCTCAAAATGTCCAACCAGTTCACTCGGATATTCCCCTTATCTCGACTGGTAGACGGCATACGCACTAATCCAGATAGCGAATTCGAAACGCCTACACAGACTGATTTTCTTTCATAAATCATTAATCCGTTGAGATAATTATCAATTTGGAATTGTTGACAACATACCTGAAATAGATTTAATCCTTGATTCTTTGAAATATACTCTTCCGCTATATACCCTTACTGTAACAGAAAATCTGTAATTCCAACATCGATTTCCAAAATTCATATATCCCTTTACTCCTTTGTTTCGCTACAATAGCAATACAATAGCTTATGCAGCAAAGTAGTTATTCGCGGCCCCTATGGGACTAGTTGCTGTTGAATTAATAAGACAATGATGCTCCAACTACTTTCTCATATCAAAAAACGCAAATACTCTCCTCGAGAATAAAAATATTGTTTTGCTTGCAATTTGCACTTTTTGTTGTTTGTTGCTGTGAACTCTTTTTTGCCTACAGTGTACGTGTACGGTGTATTTGATTTTGATTCTGGTTGTAAGATGCATTTCTAATAAGTGTTTTTAATGTTTCTAATTAATGTTTTTTTTGTCATAACATGTATCTCTAATCATTGAGTCGAACAGTCTATGCTAACACTATTTAGTTTATTATTAAAATGGCTGTTGTTATTCGCTCAATAACCCCAAAGAGCCCGTTTACTCCTCAATTAAAATCATATATACCTTAACATCTTCTTTAAATACCTACAAACATTATATTCTTCCACTTAAAACACTTGTCATCTAAAGAGCTGCGTGAGAAAAAAAATTCCAATATTTCAATATCGACTGAATTACAAATCAGCAATTTTATTTCCCAATTTTTGTTTAAGACAGAAATCATGTACCAATGTTTAGAATGGCTGTTGGAGTAGATAGTTATGTCCCCTGGGTAGTGCTTTCCATACATTTACACAGCAAATTGAAGATACAAGACAGATGGTTGAATAATTGATGTGCAAAGCCATTATCTTTTACATGGTAGCTTTCTCGCTTTGTATCGAAACTGAACTAGTGAACCATATTGTAACGGTTGGGTGATTTTAGTTAAAGAAATATTGACTGTTAGACTGTATGTGATGTATACAGTAAAACCTGAATATATGCAGATCATGCCTATCATTTTTGTTCACGAGTCCTAATAGTAGATATTACAAGCGTATACAGAGGAGGACGAATGTAAAGGTAAATCTCCAGAGGTTCATTTTTATATGGAGCCGTAGATGAATTATGGGGTATTCCCTCTCTTTGCGTACATGGCGTATATGGTTACTACATGAATATTAGAATGAATATATCAATTCTGTTTCATTATGGTCAGATTATCATACTGGGTGGTATTCTATTGGTAGTTGTTATTTGAATCATGCCTCTTATTCTCGCTGGAAATTATTTTATCTGCAATCGGAAGAGTAGGATAAATAGATTTGAAATTGACTACTTAGACGCAAATCTACAGGGTGGACCAAAAACGTCCGTACTATTCTTTATTTTGCTGTCACTTCTTATTCTCGCAGGAAATCATTTTATCTTAATCGGGTGGACCAAAAAAGGGTGGACCAAGAAACGTCCGCATTATTCTTTATTTTTGCTGTGACTTCTTATTCTCGCAGGAAATCATTTAATCTTAATCGGGAATTAGAAGGATGAATAAATTTAATTACTTAGACGCAAAACGACGGGGTGGGCCAGTAACGCCCAAACCAATTTTTTCATTTTGCTATATAATACACGATTTCGAATAAAATGTCCGCATGTGATGCAACAATTGACTTTGCAGCTAAAAATCAGACACATTGGAATCCGATGGATAAGTTTTTCTTCTTTCTGCTTATTTGTTCCATGATTTTTTGTCTGGATATAATTTCAGAACATTCTGTTACACAGAATATGGCATACATTCATGGTTGCGCGATATTTGTGATACGGGTGAATATGCCATACTCACCTGCGGTATATGGCATATTCCGCAGGTGAGTATGCGATATTCCGCAGTGAAGATGCGATACATTGATTTCAGTGAATACCCGATACTCACCTTCAGAATATGTCAAACTCACTTGCGGAATATGCCATATAAAATAGGTGAATATGACATATTCCGCAGGTGAAAACGTGATACAGAAAGACTTGGTTTGATTGGTTGCGAGAATCGACTTTAAATGTGAAACTACGCTGGATTACCAATATTGTTAGTGCGTCGAGTACTAATATATGAATCCTGGATTGATTTGGTAAGTTTATTACGTGAGATTGGTGAGTGATACTTCTGCATACGTTGATATATTCGGTAAACTGTACTGTTGATCGAGTAATCATTATAATAATTTATAAGGTTTTACTTGTTCGTTCAATCGATCCAATTGACAATTGCGTACTTCCGTATCACGTTCTTGGTTAGTGTGTATGCCATATACCGCAGGTGAATCTGTCATACACCGTAAGTGAATATGGCATATTCGTTGCGGAATATAGCATATTTTTGTATCGTGTTTACCGCGTAACACATTCTGAACACCCTTCCCTAGGCATCTCTCTGGTACTACTGACTTGAACCATGATTTTAGTGTAAAATGTTTCCTTCGGAAAGTATCCTAGCAACTCTAACCCCAAGTACGTTAACCTTACTTACTTAGAAACCCCTGCAGATTTATCTATCACATTTTAGGAGTCCATTCATTAAGATTTATTGGAGAAGTAGTCTCCCATAGGTTCACAAAATTTACCCGCAGTATATTTATGATTCTCTTGCGTCTGAACATTGATGGGATTTTAGTGCACTTTGCTGAAACACTAATTGTTAAAAGGCTACTGGCCACAAAATTGTGCTAATAGTCCCAAAAGCATTTTTTCAATTTTTTCATACTGTGTAAAACGTATATTACCCTTTCAACTAGAGATAAACTTGACTTTTTAAGAGGGATTCCTCGATACTCGATCGTCTATAGACCTCGAAAATACAGCTGTACATAATTATTTCACACATAGCAAGGCAAGGTGTGTTCAAATCCAGCCAATCAGAACACGTTATTTCACGTAACTGCATTCCGTTATATAAACCAATAACGAACTAAAGGTCACTATTTAAACAGTATGGTGATGACTGAACTCTACAATTTAAAATTGATAATTTGCCAGCTTGACCTTCGCAAAAAGTTTCATTAAAAATATGTTATTTTAGTGAGTTCATATATTTTAGATGATTTTGAAGAAAATATTTTGGAATGTTTGAAAAGTATTGAAGCCCAAGACTCAATGCATAATGTATTGACCATTCCTTTCAGGCCTTGTTTCCTAAAATCAACACTCGATGCTCCGCATCTCGTACAAATTTTGGAATGCAACACCTTCGTTCAAAGAATGGTCATTCCACATTGTACTGGGCACAGGGCTTAAATCATTGCGCGTTAACCATCTCTACATTTTGTCCATTAATATTGCATTTCGCATCAAAAAAGTTTTATTCAAAGTGAAATCATCGGATGATGAGAGTACATTTGCTATGGCGACTGTAGCGGCGGAGCGCAGTTAGATCAAAAGTAAATGTAGACGAAGCTGTCTTCGAAGAAGTTGTCAAACGAATGCGAGTGGTAAGCGGCGAACCAATACAAAAGAAGATGTTCTTTTGCACAACTTTTAAAGGGTGAAAACGTTGACAATGCGGTAAAGTTAAAAACACATAATGTCATCCAGAGGAAAGACTCGTGCTATCCGTTATTTTCAGCCTAATTATGGTGACCAAAAATTGATATTTTGGTGTCTATAATTTCGGATTTTACGCATGAGCCATCGTCACATACTGTACATATAATAGAAGCAATAACACTTAATCATTATGGATAGGCTGTAGGCCATTACCACATTGCTCAAACTGAACCAGTCTGTAGAGCATTACTGAGCTCTTAATGGCACCTTTGTCATCAGCATTACAATATAACAGCATAGCTAAGCATGGTTTACAAATGTTAAAACAATATATTGGGTCATGATGAAGCATAAGGCAATAAGACAGTGGCGTTACTTTTAAGGTAATTGCAATTATCATATTGCTTCCGAGGGCATTAACACATCTAGACGACAAGATGATACAAAGGTACAATAACAAAAATCCATAGGTCAAGTCAGAATGAGTGTTAGAGGGTGAACGTCCGGGGGAGTTTATTTTATTGGATATAATTTTCCACGTTGATTCGATTTTGTATACAGGATGTCCACAAAGTCTCTACACTCTGTATCATAATTGTATGGTCACCCTGTATTTCAGTGCTATTAGAGTCCCCATGGTCTATAATTTGAACACAGACTATGAAACTAGGATAGAACTTGAATAATGGACCAGTGTATTATGTACATCATCTTTGGCCTAACCGCCCCCCCACCCCCATCTTTAATGCCTGTGACCAGGTCATTCTTTTGGTGCACTAGGCCAGAGGGAACAGACACTGAATAGACTCATGGAAAAAAATGGTCCATACTTTCCACCATCGCGATAACTGCGCCCCCTTTGTCTCTATCCTTCCAAAGTCTCTCGCAAACGGCAGATAAGAGGGGGCTCTGGCATAGCAAAATGACTTTATTCTAATAAATGTAGAGTGGCTGGCTATTTTGTATCTCTGGGAGAGTTCAAGCGCCTTATCTTTCAATGCAAATATGTAAATAACAACCTGAAAATTACATCAAATCCAGTAAATCACCCCTAAGTTTATCCTAGTCATAAAGATTATCATTATATTATATTAGATGTATCTGTTATTTGTATGTTATGTCTTTTTAATTTCACATTTTTACTATATAATTTTATTATATAAATGTCAGATCGGTTTATTATCCCAACGAACGAAGTTCTGTAGGGATATAGTGAAGCCCTCCGTCCGTCCGTCAGTCAGTCCGTCCGTCCGTCTGTCCGGAAGATAACTCAAATACTAGTTGACAGATTTTCTTCATATTTGGTGGAAAGATGTATATTGGTGAATAGTTTTACGAAAAAAAAATATTTTCAAGATGGCCGCCAGTTTAAAAATGGCGGGAATTTTTCGCAAAAGTCATATGTAATTCATTTTAAACCAAAATAATATTTATTATTATTTGAAATTTTGGTAATATATTAACAACATCTATCTATTTCACATTTATCCCGAGTTTTCCACCCTGATCCCCAGGGGCCGTAAATGGGGGACTTGGAAAACAGGAATTTGCGTTAATTTTGAGATGTTTTTGAAGTATAGCTTTATTATACTCAAATGAAAGGAAATTTAGAGTAGATTGTAAACATTGTAGTGTTTTTCTGATTCGGGCCTCAAAAATTCAAAATGGCCGCCTAATGCGGGATTTCGCAATTATTTTCTGTTCTCTTAGAAGTATGGCTATATTATACTCAAATTGAAGGTATTTCAGAGTAGATCACAATTATGGTATTGTTTTTCTGATTTGCTCCTCTGAAAATTCAAAATGGCTGACTAGAGCAGAAATTCGCCATTACTTAGAGTTATCTTGAAAGTATGGTTACATGATACTACAATGATTTAAAATATTTATTGGAGGTAAGAGTAGATGGTAAATATTACATTGTGACTGTACAGATTGATGATTTATATAGTGTTCGTTGGGATTTGCTACTCGTGGAGTTACCATTATCTAGTTAGATACATGTCAGAAATTAGTTCTTGCATAATGTTTTTTGTACATTAAAACCAACGTTAAATAAATATTATCTTTAACCTGTACTCATTTCAATTGCCTACCACTGCAAAGCTAAATTGGATTCTCAATTGAAAGTAAATGATTTGAAGACACGATTTTCTAAATAAAAACAACACTGACGATTGATGATTATTTTCATTGATTATATATTTGATTAGATAAAAATAAATTAAATTAAAACAGATAACAAGTCGGCTTTCTCACATCCAAAGTCCTGATCAATAGCTCTGGGTATTCTCAAGTCTCTTACATTGTGAGAAGCTTGGAAATTCAATTCTCCTTGTCATGAGGCACATCAATAACATATTAACGCAATGTTAAAAGGAAAACGGCTCATTTATCTCAATATTGAAGCAGTAATGGGTACAATGGTTGCACTGTTCCTTTATTTTCTTCAAATGGAATTGGTATTTTATTGTCTTCCTGTCGTGTATTGGTTGAGGATGAAGTCTACCTGGTGTTTATAATGCAACCTGCAAAACACAGCGTAATATGACATTCAATACATGATTTTTTTTTATCTGAGGTGCATAATACCTTAAGAAATTGATGTTAGTTTCCCAGATATCGTAAGTTAAAGCAGCACATCATAAAACATCGAAAATGCAATTTTAAAATACTTAAGACCTGTAACTTGAATATACATGATCCGTAACTTGAATAGACACGAACTTTTGCACTTAGTTTGATGTCAAACCCTTTTTCTGTAAATTTAATATGAAGCCGAAGCCTCAAAATATTTTCTCGCTAATATTAAACAGCATGGCAATTTCCAAATTAATGAGTAATATACTTTTAACTGGTAATAGATTTGCAAAGTGAGCATTTTTCAAACATTGATATTAACACATTTACCAATTGATCAATTTTGGTGTAAGTCAAAGGTTTAGCCCCTTTAAATATGTTACATCTTTTAAATGTGGCGTTTTACTCAAAATGTGAAACTTGGATTTTTATTAATCCTTTTTCATAAAACCTTTACAGAGATTTTTAAGACAGTTCATCAATTTGGAAACAAGGAAAAAGGATATCTTCAAACCTCAGATAGTATAAATATGTGTTACCTGATGTGTGTTGAATATGGCTGAGGAATGATGCTAATCAAGGGGGGGTCATTGACTCTGACTCTGATCTAAAAGGACCTGGTTGAACCAATCATCATCCAAAGTAAATGGTTCCTGGAATATATGAAGTAAATGGTTCCTGGAATATATGAGAATATATGGTTCCTGGAATATATGAAAATAAATAGTTCCTGGAATATATGAGAATATATGGTTCCTGGAATATAGGAAAATAAATGGTTCCTGGAATATATGAGAATATATGGTTCCTGGAATATAGGAAAATAAATGGTTACTAAAATATACACAAATAAATGGTTCCTAAAATATACAAGAATAAATGGTTACTAAAATGTACAAGAATAAATGGTTCCAGAAATATACAAGAATAACTGGTTCCTGGAATATACAAGAATAAATGGTTCCAGAAATATACAAGAATAAATGGTTCCAGAAATATACGACAATAAATGGTTCCTGGAATATACAAGAATGAAATATGTGCAAAGTGAGTCTTCCTGTTACCATGTGCAAGATGGTATATTGAATAATACATTAAGATAAGTAGAGAAAAATCTGACTGACTTGAACATCACTGCCAAATTCAAGATTTACATATGCAAGGGACTCAATGTGAGATTACAAAATTGTGAATGTAAGAAAGTGTTCATATTTATATAGTGTATAATGTAGTAATATTTAGTGTTTGTACACATCTCAAGTCAGAGCCTAGGGCATAACTCTCTAGTACAGTAATACATTTAAGAATTTGATAAGATCTAAATATCCAAAAAGTATTTGACATGGCCTAAAAAATGAGTTTCATTATGAAAAAAAATTCCAGGTATTTATTAAAGTATACGAGGTATTTACATGCAAAATGTCACCCCTACCATTTGTTACAGACACCTAATAGCACCGACAGCCGGATGCTAACACATTCCATCGCACACTATCCACAAAAAAGTTGGAGACTATAAAAATATATGGTGGTGACATAAAAATTCAATGTCCAACATTTTACATTTACACCCATCTGATACGTACCAAGGCAATTGGCTCCTGGGTGTCACTAGATGCCAAACTGGTCATGGAGAATGATGTTCCATCATACTCTATTGTATTCTTCATATCTGAGACAACTGATGACTCTGCAAGGAGATCAAAGCTGTCCTGTGTTGGCTGGAATACATAAGAATAGCACATTTACATGTAAATAACAATTGAACTGATCACTGGGATGAACTGTACAAATGTAGACAAAATTCTTATAAAATGTATATTTTAACACCTCTGAGTCTCTTATCTGAACACCTCTCAATGTAAACACTTTTTCTTGTCCCAATTTTTTTTATCTGCAATTGATTTTCATGTTGAATACTTAAAATTAAAATGAACACCTGCCAAACTGAACACTTTCAGCCAGTCCTAGACTCCTAGTCCCAGTGGCATTCAGATAAGACATGTTTTACTGTACATGCATAGACTCTTATCTGAACACCTCTCAATGAAAATGCTTTTTTGGTCCCAATCTTTTTAATCTGCTGTGTAGATAGCCTCAAAATGTGAATATCTAATATCTACCATTCTGATACTCAGACCATCTCTGCTATGCACAAGAATTCTAGAAGGACACTGAGAGAAGGCTGTGATATCTCACAATGAATATCTACCAGTTTCAGTGGTACTCAGATTAGACAGGGCATACTGTACATACTTATAGCTCAACATTTTGCTCACCATGCTATCTTCCATATGTCGAGCGGATGTTGACAAAAGGACATCATGGATCCCTTGTTGTGCCCCAGCTCCACCTTCACTGCTATACTGGAGTTGTGTTCCTCCTTCAGAACTACATTTAGAGTCATCATCACAGTCAGTCGCCTCATTGGGAATACTTGGTGTAGCTCCTCTATCTTCAGTTTCAATTGAAACATGTTCGCGTTGTGACCATATTGTGTCAGAAATGGTTGAACTGTCACATGTATGTGTCTGAGATGTTAGACTTCCGGGGAAGATGCTACCATGCTGAGTGGACTGTCTATTATGGGACACCGTGGGTATGTAGTATGGGGTAACGTTATTGTAGCAAGTGACACTATATGGCCCTTCACTGTTGTATGGCATGTTACTAAATTGCATGGCATTGTTATGTGTGAAACTATTCGAGTTGTAGGGAGTTGAGTTATTATTCTGATCTGGGGCCCCCATGGACTCTTTGAGGGTACAGGGTGGCCTTGTAATGCTACAGCTTTTAGGTGCAGTACGTCCTGGTGTTCTCATTTCATTCACTGAACCATCATATTCACTGGCTTGTGCTGCATCTAACTGACTTTCACTCATTGGATGGACCTGGAAAACATGTCTTGTTCTTAAAAATAAATGTAAACAAGGCGTTAACATACAAAATGTCACAATCTGCCATTTGTTACAGACACTGACTGCAAAACGCCATCCACAAAAAGTTGGAGGTTATAACAATATTTCACCATTTCTGGTGGTGACACAAAAATGATGAATTTAAAAGTATATCAATCAAATAGTAGATACATCACTAAATAGTATCTTGTTCTTGTTACTCAAGAGCACGCATTACTCAAGAGAGAACACACATTAAAGATACATTTGTTAAATATGTAGGTTTTCCAAAACTGCGTGGGTTTGCATATTGCTCGAGTACATAAAGTTGGTTACGAATATGCATTGTTTAAAATTTTACAAAGCTTTGCTTGAGTTCATATTCTGTATTGCTTGAGTGCATAAAATTACCTTTAAAAGAATATGCATTGCTAAAGTACAAAGCTTTACTTGAAATCATAAATTACTTGAGTATACATACATTACTTTGAGAAGTACCAGTCTGAAGCCTAGCTCTTTTATGCTTCCTGGTATGTCTATTAAATGATGTTTGACTGTTGTGTTGTTCCCCATCTCTGTTCATTCTAGTAGACTTGTGATGCTGTTCTCTATGAGTGTCTAATGCTGTGAGGCTTGCACTTCGTCTGACTGACTTTAAAAATATCATAATTCATCAATCATGATTTATCACAGACATTTTCTCATACATAAATTTTTAGAATTCCTGAAAATAAAGGTTTAATCACATTGCTAATAATTTGTATTATCAAGGGAAAATGCTCTGTTAGCGAAGATTATCTTTCTATTAGATTATAAGGACGTTCTGTCATATAAACATTTTCCGGTAAGAGATAAGTTCATTTTATGTGACTGTGTTGGCATCCCATGCCATAAATAAGGATTCATAGCAAAACTTTTAGGTGAATAAAATTGTGCTTTACTAATACTAGATAGTAGTACAGCATATAAGGATGTTAACCATTGTATCTTTGCCCATGAGAACTTCTGAATATACAGTAAAACTTGTACATATAAACACCTCTGTAAATCAAACACCTCTCAGTATGAACACTTCAAAGTCCCCATTTTGTAATCTCCCACTGACTCTCTTGTTAAAACCTTGAAATGTGAACCCATCTATTCAAAACGTTTAAAGCCTGTCCCAGTGGCATTCTAATTTTATAGGTTTTAGTGTAGTCTGAATTTTTACCTGTACTGGTCTTACAACACCATATTTCTCAGCTCCCATATGCCACAGTTTCCTTGTTACACATCTTCTCAGGTCCTTACTGTTTGTCACCTGCAAGACAATGGTTTATACTGTCTGTCACCAATGGTTTAAAACCATGGCTTTTCATATGAAGGGTATTATGGTATTAAGGGAATATACACGAGAAGTGTCACCCGTTTACTGTACATTTGATGTTGAAATATACGAATGAATAAATAAATAAATAAAAATAAATAAATAAAAATAAAAAAATTATGCAACTTTCCATATTCCAAGTATGATTATTGATCAAGCAACAGTTCCACCTTTTCTTTTACAGAAATCCATCAAAGGCCAGCGAAGATAAATTATATGGAAATGATAATTGATTTGATGTGTACAGAGGACAATAAATGAAGTAAATACTAAAATAATGAATGCATCATGAATTCCAAAATATGTAAAAATTCAAGTATAAGATTACATTTAATAGTGTGAAGCAGGCCTGCCTAAACTGTTCATTGGTGCTGTGCTGAACAATGGATGTAATGGAATCTGTAATCGAAGGCACCGCCATATCCAGAAGTTGCTGCTTCTATAAACAAACAGTAGAATGAGGAGGAATGTCCCATAATTCATAGATGAACCACTAAAAGTGCATCTTCACATGGAGATTGGTCCATCTAAGAATCGTGGGATATTTTCTCATCTTGACTATCTTGAGCAGTTTAATCTGCACAATAGATTTTGTGAATATCATTAAGGTCCAAAACAATGACATCAGTAACCATGGCCACCAAAAAGGTAAGAAATCAAAAGTTACATTCCTTCCAATCAAAAGCTTTTTTATTAACATACTGTATAACACAAGTGTTTTCACTCAATTTAACAGCTCTCATTATCACTCTTAAAAAAACTTTTTTCTTAATTCTAAATATAAATTTTACAAATCTAATGTCTTAACAATAAATCCTAAAGAATTAAAGACCTAAACATATTATAGCTATAACTATGTTTCTCGTTTTTTGTTTCGTTCCAAATATTTGATGTCTTCATAACAAGTTCCACACAAAGGTTTCCATTCTCCTTTATGTTTTACAAAGTAAAGATGATAACCTGTTCAATTGCTGTATAATTGTGCAGGAGTTTACTGACGGCTGAGCCAACACTTCTCCTGAACTTCGCCCTACAACCTAACAACAGTGAGGAGAAATTCTGCCTGATGTCATCTTGCAGATCTGAAAGTGGAACACTAAATATATCAAATGACACCTTCAGTGACGGTGGACACATAGATCTTTACTAAATAAAGTGCACATTTTCTTCATTGTTAATTATGCCTTGGTCATATTTGGTATATACAGTGAAACATGTACTGTCTTTCTTATAGTACTATGGACATCACTTTATGTGAATGTTTTTTCTGGTCGAAGTTTTGAATCTGTCATAGACTCCCGTATTAAAAAAATAGAAATGTGAACACCTTACAATACAAACACGGAAACACTTACTTAATTGTTCATGCACAGATGCTGCTTGGAGGTTGTTGTTCCTCTCTATACATATCAATACCAGTAGAGTAAGGGGATCAGCTTCCACATCATCCATATCTGCACTGGTCTCATCAGAGATTGGAACAATGTCATACTCCCAGTCTATAGGTACGGTGCCTGAAATAACACATAGTTTCAACATCATGAAATAACTAACCCTGAGTATATATTTTTTTAACTACTAAATCTTCGGAACACAGGCTACAGCAGGATTTGTTCCCTTTCACTGAAGAGAAAGAGGATATTCTTAATCTTGGGGTCCTAGGGTTGGAGGATGGCGTCCTTAGTTTAGGGATAATTATATGTTTCTCTTATCAAAGTATATCAGATTGCAAAGTGGCAGGAAAGGCAACAAATTTTTTGATCAGTTTAAAGTTGTTGAAAATTTATGATGCACAAACATTCCAATTTATGAAAAGGTGAAATCCACATTGTCAAAATTATATTCAAAGCAGGAAATCAGAAATATGTTGAGTAACTTTAATAAAAAACAATGACGAAAAATACTGTGAGTAAAAATATTGTAAAATCATCCCTAAAATCATCTTTATTGCTCCAACTACATTAATCACAATGTATAAAACGGACAAATCCCCCAAATTATTGAAAAATATCCAAAGTTCTATATATTGGTACATAAGATTGTAATCTACCTGGTTGTTCAGATGAAGATTTCTGTCCAAGTGTCAGTCCATAGTCATCAAGTTTAACTACTGTGGCTGGGTTAACTGCTGAGTCTTTGACACCTTGTATCATGACAGGCACATTGTTCAACCCATAGAACAACATCTACACATGTTAAGGTTTGTTGTAATCAGTTAATACAATGGAACAATCTAGTTTCATTATAATCTTAAATGAGTATTGTACTTTTACGAACTTATTAATTAGGGTTGTTCAAAAACTTCTGGCTGGAGAAATATGTCTAATTAAAATGGTTGCTCAAAAAGTCACACTATGAGAATGAATAACAAATCAATGAATTATCTCCTTTTAGTGAATTAAAAAGATACAAAAAGTTCCATAAAACTTGAACATTCATGAGTCCTCATTTAGATGTACACAAAATCTTTCTGGACACTATTATATTTTGGACACAAAGTGGATACATGTAATTTCACACATCTGCTGTTCAATAAGTGCATTTGGTCCACAGGGGGCAGCACTGCTGCTATGGTGGACACCTTCAAAGTCTTGCAACTGCCATAAGGGCCCCTCATCTGGACAACTTGGCTGACTCCTGACTTGGGCGACAATTTGGTAACATCACCTGGCGTGCTGTCTTTTCTGAAAAATTGCATCCCTATTAAAACTTTTCATTCTAGCTTTAATTAGAAACTTGATTCAAAAATTGGACAGAGTAATTTTACAAGGCCCAAGATAAATCTAAACATAAGGATTTATGAAATGAAGCAGAAAAAATGAAAAAAAAACAGTTGAAAATAAGGAATTGTTCAATTCATATTTGAAAAGTGAGGATATTTTAAAAATTGACCTTCTATCTGTTTTAGACATTATAGCTTTTTTGAAAAGGCATATGATATGTACCAGTTAATTAAGTTATGTAGAAAAAATATTTCCTTTAATTTGATATAAAAAATATATTAGCTGCTTCAGCGAATTCAAAAAAACTGTTAATGTTTTGTTTCTTAATACTTACTGCATATAATGACTGATGCCTGTTGAGATTGACCTCTGGCCGAATTTGTAGCGTGGCATCTTTGGGCTAAAAATAGGTACATGAGTGTACAATTAAAAATATTGTACATGTAACAGGGGCGGATCTGGGAATCAACAAGGGGCGGCCCAAATTTCAAGTCAGAGAAAAAAACGTCCGCGCTTGCGGTGAAAAAGATTTTGGGCCCCTAAAACCAAAAAGTGGGCCCAAATTTTGAAATTTTGAGGCCCATTAAAAAATAAGGCCTTAAAAGGCACAGTAATGACCAAAAAGGCCCACTTTTTAGGGCCTGAAGGCCTTTTTTGGCCCAACATTTTTTTGGGCCCAATTTTTTTTTCTGGGCCCACCCAAGGGGGGGGGCCCGGGCCCCCAGGCCCCCTAATCCGCCAGTGTGTAACAATACAATAAACCTTCAATCATTTGAAAAGTGCTTTAACATCTCAAGAGCAGAAATTCATATAAAGTGAAACCTGGCAGTGAAGCTCTTCCTCACAAATTCTGAAGGCAAAATTGGACCCCTTTTGATAAAAGCATAGGCTCTGAGAACTGACAAAGATATGATGTGAATACTATTAAAACAGATTGCAAAATAATAATAATACAGACTTACCCAAAATCTGAGAAGGATTTGGCACCATCAACATTCAAATAAAAATGTAAACCAATCTGTAAAATAAAAAACATATTTCTCACATATACATGTATGAGTAAAACAGTGTCAAAGTTTACCACACTTGATCCATTACTACTAATGTGAATATAATGTCAGTCTACAATTTAAACAAATAAAAAGAAACACAATGAAGTCAAAGACAGAACTTTTTATGGAAACATTTCCACATATGTACGTAAGAGATAGTATATTACAAAATAGCAGACAAAAACGGGGATAATGGATGTTTTCTCCTATTTTTTCAAAACCAGTTATGGACTAGTAGCAAAGTTATTGACTATGGCTAGCAAAAAACTGATAAAAATCATATTGCATGATTGTAATGCCATGGATTCATGAAAAGTTCTGAATTTAATTCACTCACATTGTTGTTGAGTAACCTGAGTTTGTGAAGATAATCAAAGACAGCCTGGCATTCTTGCATCATATGGTTCCTTGCCTGATAAACCTGCAATTGAAGATATACAAGTATGTAGGAATCAAGGTTTTTGGTAATCTACAGGGTGATCTAGAAGCTAGATCAAAGATGTTTCAATACTATTGTACCAATCACATTAAAACTTGGTTCAGATGTTGCTATGGTAACCAAATGTGACATCAGACAAAAAAGGAAATGGGTGATTTAGAAGTAACATCTTTGATCGGTGACCATCTTTATAAGACATCTTAGGCATCTGTGGCCTTTAGGGATTGGGTCAAACAATAAAACATCAACACCATTGGAAATAAATGTTCCACATGTATTATTATAGTCATATTGTAAAATCTTCGTGATTTCCCAAATCGCTAATTAATGACATACTGTACCTTCAAAGCTATTGTGTAAGTAGAAAACTTGAGAGCAGTTTCTTTATGAAGGGTCTCACAGCGCGAGTGTATTTGGTTGTCATCTCCATGGAGCCTTATGTATTGTCTTTTCCCCAATGTAGATGCTGCAGTATGGCAGTCCACACTCAGGTATGCAGATTCTGGATTCAATTCTTGACTTTCTTTGAGAACTTTTATGAGAGCCTTGCTTGGAACTGAAATAAAGATGTTTGGTGTAGTTGATGAATAAAAAGAATGAATGACTGACGTAATATGGATATTGTCACCTATTCATTTGACATTGCAAATAAACTTGACAAGGCAGATTGAAATTTTTTTGATAATTTATTGTAAGCAATGTGGCTGTTTGAGCTATCATTGGTGTCAAATTAAACTTTAGCACTTATCAATCCATTGCAATTACAAGAGTGGCATACTAATCCACTTGGGGAAAACCAAATCTTTATAGGCTGATCAAGCAAATTCACCAAATACATTTATGTGTACTCATAATTTATAACCATATCTTAATACACAGAATCTATGCCTGCTTCATCCTAATCAAAGTATCTCAGATCCCTGTCAGCACCTCACTGAATAGCATACCTTTGATCATAGGTTCAGCACTCAGCTCTTTGGTGAATTCACCACTGCATTTTACTGGAAGCAATCGGATAACAATGTTACGATCATTTCTACAGGTATAGCATAATAAATATTTATTTATCCCATACTTGGGCATCTTTAAGGTACATGAAGCAGGTTTGAATTGTATTTTCACCAGAAGGCAGGAGATAAGTAGCACAAGTCCCTGATGAATGGGCAAATATATTACAGTTCTCGTATATCTGCTCGCTACAACACATAATATTTAAGTTAGAGGATTTTGATGACACTTGAGTGAGAAAATGTGGAATGCATCAAATATAGAGGATTTATAAATAAAATATAAAAAAACTATTTAACAAAATGCATAATGTTCACCTCTTATTTGGAACCAGGCATAGTCTTGGTCCCCTTGCTCTTGTTTATTACCCTTGACTCTCACAGCTATGTCGTCATGCTGGTTGCCCTTGGGGACACCATGTACTGCTCTTAGAAACAATATATACTCCAGGACCTGCAAGAACAATTCTGGATATACAGGGTTACCCAAAAATCTTTGAATTGAGAGAGTATAGGGGTTCTGCTTTTTAGATCACCCTGTGTATCAATTACACTAGAAACTGATGATCAGGAAGGCCCTCTAATTATTCGGATGAATAGGCAGAGCCCTCTAGAGACTATAGAGAAGAGAATATAGAGGACTCTGCTTGCATATGAGACCATTTAATTCATTGCTGCTCATCTCAAAGTATGCAACGAAGTATTCGTTTCAAGGGAAAAGATGTTTTGATATACAGGCCCGTAGCCAGGGGGGGGGGGGTTTGGGCGGTTCGGGCGAACCCCCCCCCCCCTGGCCAAAATTTCTTTCAAAACAATGCAGTTTTTTACCATTCTGACTATTTTTTTAGTGATTTTTGGCCAAATTTGCCAAAGTGAACCCCCCCTAGAATTTTTGGGGAAAGTGAACCCCCCCTTGGAAAATTCTGGCTACGGTCCTGATATTCCTGGAAATACAATGAAATGAATACAGTAGTAGTAGTAAAATAGTTTATTTAAGAGTACACTGAGAAAATGCACTTAAAGTGCTCATATTTTGAGGTGAGTCCTTTTAAGAATAATTTTTGATAGCCTATAAGTTAGTTTTAGACAATCTATGGTTAGCAAGGTCCTTAAACGAAAGTAATTTTTTTAAAATTAGTAAATTAATTAAAACAATTTAACTAAACGTGCATTTAAAAATAAAAAGATAAAATTACCTAATACATAACAGCTAACATTAGAATCTGAAAATTAAAAAAAACTAACTATATCATACAGTACTAACTCTAGTTAACAGTGTAATAGTGAAATTAATCATAGCAATAACTTCTAGGCACAAAACAGTGGAATGTAAATGTATCAGATCAGAAGGGGGGGGTACAAAAAATGTTTTATTCTCAACCCTGGGTTATTGAGTCATTTCTTGCAAAATGCCTGGTGATCAATTTTTGCTAACCAACATTCATTATTTTCATTCAAGTATAAAAATCAGATGTCTACTGACGTGGTATGCATTATATTTACCTCAATCATTGCATGTTGAACAGGGAGATCTGGCACATCACTGCAGCTACTGGAGTCAGACATATCTCCAGTGTTATAGTCAGGAAACATACCTACAACAAAAACAAGTTCAAAATTATAATATGGTCACTATAAATAAGCAACACATTTCAGGATCCGCTTATTGTGGGTGAACACACTCCTTCTGAAATTCTGCAATGGCCCCCTCACTCCTTTGTCCTTCTAGAAGCCATCACATGAAGATGAAGCTCTCTTTTAAATAGCAAAGTCAATCGAATGCAAAGGCTAACTTGGATGGACTATATTAAAATGAATGGAACCATTGGAAAGCAAATGTGAGACCGTTTGAAATTCTCACACCTGTTGGGGTTTGTGTAAAAAACTGGGTAGTCAGGTAACTGGGAACCTAAAGTTCCTTTCATTTTTTTATTTTATGCCCCAAAATGTATATTTAGTGTATTTTTAGAGCTTAACCTTCATAAAACTAACCAATACAAACAGTATATGAGAAGATTATCACCTAAGCCACAAGGGCCCAGGTGCCTTTAAGTACACCGGCACTCCTTTAAATGCCAATCAACAATCCAAACAAACAAAAATCCTTCCAACTGACCTCCAACTCTGGCTAATCAATGAATCAAACAAGCAATCAAACATCCAACCAAGCAAGCCAACCTAAGAAACAATCAACTAATAAAGCAATCATCAAACCATGCAACCAATCAAGCAACCAACTACCAGATCAGCAAACCAAGCAACAAACAAACAAATTTATAAAATTGTCAACCATGAAACCAATCAACAAACAAACTAAGCAACAAGTCAAGCAATGAGCCAAAAGCAACCATCCATCAAAGCAACCAACTAACAAGCAACTGACTGACAAATCATCCACCCAACTCATCAATCATCAAAACAACTAAGCAAGCAACTGGCCAATCAATTAACCATCAACCAACCAACTTATTAACAATGAAAATAAGAACCAAATCAAAACAAGCAACAAGCCAACAATGGCAGACCAACCAAAGAACAAAGAAGCAACCAACAAAACAACTAACCAAGCAACTGACCAACCAATCACCTATCCAATTAATCAATCGACCAACATACCAATGAAGTTGCCAATCATCAAACTTAACAACCAAGCAGACAACTTACCAATCACTAACCAATCAATCAACCAACTAGCTATGTAATCAAGCAAAAGAACAACTAGCTTACTTACTATCTGACCGATCAATGAAGCAAACAACCAAATAAATAAGCAAGCAATGAAAAGACCAATCAAACCAAACTGAGCAATCAACAAGCCAACAAAGCAAGCATGCAACCAAACATTGGTTGCTTGGCTGGTTAATTATTTTTGTTCTTTGCTTGATTTGGTTGGTTTGCTGGTTAGTTGGTTGGTTTTTGACAGGTTACATGTAGTTGGTAACCAAACTACCTGATTCTCAAATGTTGTAGATACAGTACTCACCCAGGTACTCGGTCTAGTTGAAAGCCCATGGTCAGACCCAGTTTTTACACAAACCACTTGTTTTAAAGGGGCAACAAGGACTGTAGAGAGAAAATGCACATTTTTTTATTTTTTCTGAGCTATCAGGTCAATATTTGGCTTAACATTTTCTTTGAGATACATATTTTCTTAAAATGTATGGATAAACTCTCAATTTCAGCATTAAGAAGTGTAAATTCAGCTTCTATAATGGGAGTCCCACTTATAGATTTTTAAGATTCACCACGTTTCAAGAGGAATATCAGCTGAAATAATGTCCATCCAGGTGGTTTCTTTGTAGATAATAAAAATATATGTTAAGCTTAGTCTGATGAAATATCCAAACTTCAATATATTTATTTTGGTCGCTGATCGTTGAATGCCCCCCCCCCCTGCACTAATTGTTGCACCTTTAAAATATAGTGAGGTGAAATGTAAAGTATTCATTTTCAAGTGTTATTTGTAAAATGCTCCATATCTGAAAAAAATCTTTAACTTATAGATCAAAATGATGTATTCAATGCAGTTTGGTTACAGGTGTCTAACTCCAATACATTCAGTACAAAAACCCCAATATGGCCTCTTTTATTAACGAATGATTTTTACGTAAAGAACAGTAAATAAAGATCATCCGTCATTGACCCACATAATTATCAAATAAAAGTTCAACATTTTCGATTATTTTATAATATTCATCAACCTTGACTGACAAAGTGGGGTAGAAAACAGTATTAAATCAAGTTTTGACATTTGGATGATGGACCCCATTGTGAGCCTCTAGCAGAAGACAAAGTTGTCCTAGTTTCCAAATCTTTAATTTCGTCCCTTTGAAATATTCTTTAATGTTTAAAATATCACAAACCATAGATAAGTAGAGTATACATACGAATCGCACAAATAGAACAAAATCTATGTCTATTTTAAGACAGAAAACAAGATCAAATACCGTCACTGACACCAAACTGCATGTTGTTGACGTCGGCCATTTTGTGCATCAAAGCGCATGCGCTCCGTCTGAATTGTGGGAAAATTTGGTAGTCCATGTGACTTTTGACCAATCATATTCAAGGACCCCCAGCACAGATTGTTGTTTCGCCAGTCACAAAATATTTCCAAAGTTCTTGAGGGAGCTTACAAATTGCCGAGTTTCTAAGTAACTCTACGGTATATATTTCTTTAATCTATCCTGTAGCATAGTGGACTACACAGTGATAAGCTGGGACAAGTAGAAGGATGGTAAGTATCCGAATTCAATAGATATCCCATGTTCTTTCTTCCAGATTTTGAGCGGCCTAAAAACAACTTCTTGCTTGAAAATGTGGATGCCAAAAATATGAATGCACTTTTCAACAAGTGTTTCAGACTGATTGAAACGATTTTGCTCATTGAAAACTCGGCTAATGTATCCCATGATATTAAGGATACAGAAATTGCAAACTTTGAGAAGAGATGTTGTTTAGAACTGTATGTTAGAAGCGTTGGCAGGTCAAGTTCAAATGTGTTCAAAATATTGAAAATGGCTTCCTCATCCAGTCAGCTGTTCAAAAGAAATGATCATATTATAGGGACTAAGTCTAATAAAATCAACAAGAGAGAATCAGTTTCATCAATTGATCACCTCTTCATTTAAATTCATAGTTACCGTCGACTGATTACTGTCTGTTTACTTGATTCACCCCATAGACATGCTTTCACCCTAGAATGACCTAAATTATTCTAGATTACTTCAACTGACATACAGTTTCACAGTTCCCTGATGCTTCTTGCTAAATTAAAGTCTGTACTGTGATACCGGCACTGGTAGCACCTTCTGGCAGTTTATTAAATTACATATTTTTATATCTTGTCTTATCTAAACTGATGCAACTTTCATCATTATATTTTTCTTGCAGGCGGGTGAAGAGCCGCCATACTTGAATGTCGGCGTAGAAGTCAGTGCCAAATATAAAGGCGCATTTTGTGAAGCTAAGATCAAGAAAGTTGTCCGCCAAGTAAAATGCAAGGTAGGTAAATTGTCAAATTTGTTGTTGGTTCTTATGGAATTTGTTATGTCAAATATAAAACTATTTAACTATATCACAGAAGCATAACATAGTCATTCAAACTTGATAGATGGCATTATGCCAACTCTTTCCAGAACAAGTTGAACTTGTTTATTATATGCAAGGAAACATGAGATTAAAAAACTACTGTGGTATGGGATATTCTATTTTTAGGCTAGTATTAATATTTCTGAGTTGTTCAGTGGTTAAAAATTATTGATTTTTGTGAACTGGCTGAGGTAAGTAGGTGGCCTTAATTGACCTTAAAATATAGAAACAGCTGTGTACCAAATGCAGAAGATGCAACATACTGACCTTATAACTATGTTAACCGCTCAAAACTGTATTATGTAAAGTTGAGAATATGAAAATGATTTTAATATTTAATTGAAAACCTATTTTCACTTATCAGTTGAGAATTTGATTGAATTCTTTTGAAAATTTGTATGCATCATACTATTTGATATAAGTCCATTTGATTGTTAAGTTCAGATATTTTACCCATTTTGTAATCAAAATGAATTAAATGAGAAGTAATTGCACAAGGCTAAAACAAATTGCTGAGGATATTACTTATTTTGTACTGCTTTTATATTATAGTTTATGAATGGTTATTAATGAATGTTCTTAATGTTCAGCAATGCATGAATATATTGTATGACATTATTTGCATTATTAGGTAGTGCTCAAGGAAGGCAATATGTCTGTGATGGTGACGGATGAGCACATCAAAGGTCCCTTGAGGGTAAGTTTCAATTAAGAGGCGCACATTTTTACATAGATTTTAGAGGTTATGGTGTCTTTTAATTAAGTTACTTAGCAACAGAGCATCCTGTCATCTGTATAGTTTGCCATCACTAAGACGAGATATCAAAGATTCCAACACCCATTTTTATCATAAAAATATTCAAGTTATTCCTACTGTATTAAGTTTGAGCTTCTATTACACAAATGTCAACATGAAAATTCAACATGAAGATTTAGGGTTATTCAATTTTGTAACCAGTTACAAAATAACTGAAATATTATTATATGATATGCAAGGGATGATATCTAAATGTCACTCGTGTCTAAATGTCACTTGTGTTCAAATGTCACTTGTGTCTTTATGTCAACAGTTGTGGGATAATGTAATTTATGTTTAGGAAGGAGGAAATTATGATTTCTGTAGATATTAATGTTATTTTTTGTGGCATATGTTGAAGAAATCACTGTTTCTGTTGTAGTTGGGTGCAGTTGTTGAGGTGAAGAACCCAACAACTGGACAGACGGTAGAAGCAACAATTGCATCAGTAAAGGACTCCAGCATGTATACTGCCAGTACGTATAAAGCTTATACCTAGAGAGGGATTGTATATTTGGTTCTTCCATCCAATATCATAGAGATCATGTTATAAAACATTTCACAATTTCTGTTGTTCTAATGTTTGTTTTTATCAAGATAAGTCAATGGTGAAGATTGATACATGTTTAATGCATATATCGTCATATATAATTATTATTTATTTCAATGAATACTTCAAATGGCTTGTCTATCTTTTAATACAAAATTAAACGAATCAGTCTAGTTGGGCAACACAGTAATTTTTTTAAAGATGTTACAGGGATCTGCCTATTATTGGAGCCATTAGATTCAACACTGAAAATCTGTTTGTACCATGTCAAAAAGATAAAAATATTGACATGTAAATTAAGTGAATAGGATATATAATCAAATGTAACTGAACTTTTGTATGCACAGTCAATGACGTAAATGAGATATTTGTTTCATTTTTGTCCATTGCATGTTTTTCTACTTTTTCCAAATTTGAACATATTTGTCTGATTTTGTTTTTAGTATTTGATGATGGTGATGAAGCAACTCTACGTCGTACACAACTTTGTTTAAAGGGGGAGAAGCACTTTATCGAGAGTGAGGTATGTCATAGTAATTCTCTTTACATTAGCAAAAAGCAATTTTAAGCTTCAATCCAAGTTTTACCTTTTTACCATTTCTTGTTGTGGCATATTGTAACGTTATAGTCTCCAACTTTTTATGGACAGCGGTCAATGTTTGGGGGTCGGTGCTCAGCATCCAACATCTGTAATAAATGGCAGGTGGTGACATTTTGCATGTTAACGCCCTATTTTATTATTAAAATCTATGTAACACATATCTTCGTTACAGTTGCTATAAAATTCTCAAGGGAGTATTAGGTGCCAGGTGGAATATTTAAAGTATAATGGTGAAAATGTTCATTTAGGTATTATTTATAATCCAATATCACATAATGTAAATTATAGATATGTACATAGTAAATCTTATATTTTGAAAGACTCACAACCCTGTACATGTATACATTATATACAGCCATGAAAGACTTGTAATCTTGCAACAATTGTGTGTTTCTTCAAGACACTGGACCAGCTACCGCTGACCCACCCTGAACACTTTGGGACCCCAGTAGTGCAGAGCAGAAAGAAAGCATTATATCCTGAAGCCGGCATGTCCAAGAGACGCTCAGGGGCTGCATTGAGGTAAAAAACAGTGTTGATTTTATTCATTTCGCTATTCGTCTATACTTCTAAGCTTAAGATAAATGATTGATTGAAGAATGTAATTTGCTTGCAACAGATTCAAGAAAATGCCTTTTAAGTGTTTATTCATGGGTTTTGATAAAGAAGTGTGTGTAGTTTAGCTAATTTTTGATAGTCTGTTATAATTTTTGGGGGTACTTTTACAAGTCTGCCTTATTACTTTTAAAATCTGCTTTATAATGTTTGTGTATCTACTATAAACCTTTACATGTCTACTTTATCATGTTAACTATTATTTAACTTTTATAACTTTTACATGTCTACTGTACAACTTTTGTATGTCTACCTCTACTCTTTATCTGTCATGTGTTTCAGCAATGATGAGTTTTCATCCTCTGATGAAGATGATGACACACCAAAGAAACGAGTCTATAAAGGTCGCCTTGTGGACATGATCGGCAAGGTATGAGCTCCAATATGTGTCTGCATTTTCAAAATATTGTTATTTTTATTATATACTTTGCATTGTGACATAACATTAATTTTTTCTCAAACATCATTTTGATATTTTGTTTGTCCGCTTTTCCATAACTGTAAGTATAATTTTTTTTCTGCATAGGTGGTGAATGTTGAATCTACAGACAAACGTAAAGGTTCTACGTGGGTGCCAATGTTAGTGGTGCTACCCTCTGCCAGTGACATTGAATTAAAGACTAAAGAACATTTGTTGGTCAGATCATTCAAGGATAACAAATAGTAAGTAGACCGTGCAATAGGCTAGAATATTTCGATTGGGTGAATGTAATGTTGAAGTCTTAAAGCTCTCTTCAACAATTTTTCAACAAGTTTTCTTCCATCACCAAATTTATCACATATATTGATGTTTACAAAGTAATTTTCTTGTTTAGAGGCAACAAACTCACCATCATATTTCATTTCTTGTTCTTTTGTAAAATGTGGCTTTTGTTACTGGCTGTCAATTAAGAACATTGTTTTAGCTAAGGAATATCCACTAGTCATCACCAACTTACATATGATGTGAACCTCAGACCAGCTGATATTTTCATTATTGACCATTAGACTACTCTCAATACCCTTAGCATGTCCATGTGCCTTTCCTTGCAGTCAAGCTGTGCCCAGAAAGGACACAAAGGAGTTTACCAAAGAAGTAGCCATGAAGAATGATGATAAAAGTCTCAAGGTTACCATGGAGAGATCTCTACGTTATATTGAGGAAGAGGAACTTCCTTCTAACTGGAATAAAAATGAGTTGCTCGGCAGTGACAGTGAAATCGACTCAGAATCGCCTGAGGTATGTTCTTCAATGTCTTATTTAAAAATTACATGGTGATTTGTATTATGCATGTAGTAAAATAGTAAACTTGCTAACTTTAACTAAAACTTTAACTAAACGATTTTCATATTTCAGACAATATAGCTATTGGAAATTCAAATATTGGACATTCATTATGAAAATTACTATAAAATCAATATTGAATTTCATTAAAATTGTGTAACTTGATTGAAACATATTTAATAGTAATAGTAATCGCAGGTGCATCCTTTAGAAATGCAATAAGACACTTGTATTTGATTATAAATTTTGATATCTGTATAATAATAGTAGTAATATAAGTCACTTAATGATTCATTTGTTCGAAATATATATTTTGACTTCTTTATGTATATCTATCTTTTTTGTGTGTGCAGTCATCAGATGAAGAGAGTCACCAGGAGAGAGACAGATTTGTAGCCCAGCTCTACAAGTTCATGGATGACCGATGTACACCAATTAACAAAACACCACAAATAGGCAATCAGGATCTCAACCTTTACAAACTGTTCCGATTGGTCAGAGAGATCGGAGGGTTCAATAAGGTGACCAATCAGATGAAATGGCGCCATGTGTACAATAGAATGGGCCTACCTATCACTGGTACAGCTTCCCACCAAATTAAATCAGCATATAAAAAGTGAGTAAGAATTTTGTTCAACTTTTTATGATATCTGAAATCAACATATCTCAGTTTAATTGGGTGCTTCCAAATTGGTTTTAGCTGTGAATTCTGGACACCTGCTAAGGAAGATGACATACAGATGCCTATATATTCTCATTAGAAGGAATTAGGTGTTATAGGGGTCAAATCAAAATTTCTATAAATAAGTACAGTTGATAATAAGATTTGTCCCCCTCCAATTGAAGTACATTGAGAACAACTTGAAAAGGGTCTGAGCATGAATAACAAATGAAATTCTATGCAAACGTCATATTCCTGAAAAATTCTAGAATGATTTCATGAGCTTTTAGCGCTCTGATCTAAAATTGTTGGTTTTGTACTTGGAAAAATGCTTCAAATTTTATATACTCATTTTCAGATATTTACACGCCTTTGAAGATTTCTACCGCAAGTTAGGTAATGCTATGGGTACCCTGAGTGGACGTCCTAGCCGGCCAAGTAGGCAGCAGGGACCATCAACGGGGCGAAGCATATTATCCTTCAGGGAGAGAGAGTCACCAAAGTCGCCACGTAAGGCTGATATCATGAAGAAAGAAAAGGATGAGGTAATAAATTGCATTAATCTTAGATTAGTATTATTACAAGGTATTTATATGTTTTCTGGTTTTATATTGAACTTTGATAATGTATGGGTATTTTCCTGGAGGTAAATAATAATTGTGTCTTTTGCTTCGAGCAGGCTCAGAATGTGAAAGATGATGATAATGAAAGTGTCCGTAGTGAGGACAGCAGGCCTGATGTAAGCAGCAGAGACAGTCCACGCAGAGGGAGGCCTAAAGCCCATCTCACCCCCACACGTGAATCAACACCTACTCGGAAAGACCCCTTGGAAAAGAAACAAGTCGAAGATAAAAAGGACAAAGGAAAAGAGGACAATAAGAGAACATCAAAACCAACAGAGAAAAAACTAGAAATGTTGAAAAAGGAAGAAGAAAAGAGACAGAAGGAGGAAAAAACTAAAGAAAAGAATACACCACCTCCTAAATTAGAAATGACTAAAAAGATGACTCGAAGTACATCTGTACTTGATACTCAAGATACTAAGGAGAAACCTCCTGAAATTAAGGAAAAGGAGAAGCCAAAAGAAGAAAACCCATCGGTCGAAAAACGAGTAAGTCTCTTTCTATTCAACAAGTCTATCAGTATGATTTTTTGTTGTCCCAAATTTGAATTATGAATTGCTTGAATAATTATATATAGAAAGTCAATGATTCAAAAGAATTGTTGTTTGAAAATTATATACATGTCTAAGTCCTACTATGGCTTACATTTATGTGAAGTTTTCATTGTTTTTCTGAACCACCATTTCCAAGTCTCATCCACTGCATTCAGCTACTTTTTGCAATTTCCCTTTTTAATGACATTTCCCTTTATTTATGACATTTACCTTGCCTATTGGCATTTCCCTTGATTTATGACATTCCCCTTGCTTTATGACATTTCCCTTGTTTAATGACTTCCCTGCTTTTTGACATTTCCCTTGCTTCACAACATTGCCTTGCTTTATGACATTTCCCTTGCTTTATGACATTTCCTTGCTTTATGACTTTTCGCTTGCTTGCTGACATGCCAGTTCCCTTACTTTATGACACTTAACTTTTGCAGGGTCGTAGATCAATGCGTGGAGGGGACAAGCCAAGTGAGGAAGAAGCCACGAGTAGAGAAGATAACACAGCTACACCTCCTCCACCTGTCTTGGAATCTCCTAAACAACAGCCCTCTGTGGTATGTACAGCTAAATTGTCTAATTTAATTGAGGCCTTATGTTTGTTATGCATACCAACTGAGGTTCTAGGTACACTATGTGGAGAGAATATATACTTTATCTTAAGTGTATCCAGCCTATGTGGCCCCTTGGGAAATGAACATAATTTCATTGGGATAACCCCTATATCCTAAACCTCCCAGTACATAACCCTTAAACATTATGAGAGATAAGGGTGAAACATAAAGGAACACAATTTAATGTTCATAAGCTTTGTCAAAAAAAAGTATTTTATTAAAATATGATTTTTTAGGGGTGTAATAAATGCAATTGCAATGGCAAAATCTTTATTTATTTACTTGGTCACAGACTCGTAGAAGATCCATGCGTGGTGGGGACAAACCCGATGAGGAAGAACACTCAGATAATGTAACAACCAGCAAGAAGGAAGATCCTAAAGAGACCAGGAAGAGGGAGGAAGTGAAGAAGAAGGAAGAGTCTAAGAAAAAAGAAGAGCCAAAGAAGACAGTTGAAAGTGACGATGAATCTGATGCTGGCTCTGAGAGAACACAACCAGAGCATGATAGAACGTATGATTAGTTTTCTGCGTAAAATAAGTTAAATGTTGAATTCCATTTTAAGAAGAATTCAAGCATCAAGCTCTTATATAGTTAATGAATATGTACTTATTAATAATGACAACAAAAAAGTATATTAAAACATATAAAAGTATATAAAAACACGGCTAGTTTACGTCTAGATATAGCAAGAGTATAATGTGTTTAGGTTTATTTTATTACAAAATTTCCTATAACTTAATCAAGCGGCAAATTGCTTTTTGATAATTTATGTCCCTTTTCATCATGTAATTTAGACATTTTATGTAATGAACGAATATCATATCTATTGAAATTACACTTGGGTTCTCGTTCATTCTAGGTCAGAGAAAGAGTTTAGGCTTAGTAAAGATGACGGAGATTACCCTATTGGTACTAAACTCAAGGTTAAATATGGCAGAGGAAAAAGTCAGAAAATATATGAGGCAAAGATCTGCGAAAGTGAAATACAAAATAATGCTCGGCAGTACTTGGTGCACTATGCAGGCTGGAATACAAGGTATAACTTAAAATTTTTGGTGAATAATTAAGAAATATAAACTTTATAAAGCGAATAAAGTAATTACATTAGGTTTGATAACATGTTATGTCAATGGCCATAATGGTTATTTGGATCACTTTTCCTAATCTTGTTCTAATATGTTCGATTAATTTGATTCATACTTGGGATGAGGAATAAATGTTTCCACTCTATTATGTTTCCAACACAAACAGAAATATGTTTTAAGACAGTGTTTGGCCTTTTGCGGTCAGTGTTCAGCATCTGTAACAAATGGAAGGTGGTAACATTTTGCATGTTAATGCCTTTTTGCGTATGTGCTATAATTGTTTCTACTGTATCTTAGGTATGATGAGTGGGTGAGGAAAGACCGTATAGTTAGCTATGTTCCCTCTCCAGCACAGAAGAGCTCACCCAGACCCATGAAGCCAGGCTCGGAATCTCCCAGAACCCAGAACCCCAAGACAACACCTCAAGTGAGTTGGTCAGCAATTTGAACAAGAAATCCTTATTTCAGAGCTGAAAAGATTTAAGAGAAAGTTTGAGATCATGAAAATCCTATTATGGACAGAGTTGTCCAATTACCCTATGATAGGTTCAAAGATTCAGAATGGAGCAAAGTCCAAATGGTTCGTGGGCAATTTGGTTAGATTGTGTCTAGTTGTACTAAATCCAAATTCAAACTGATATGTACAACCTTGCATTCTATAGCCTCCTATGAAGAGCCCAGATTCTCAACCCAAGAAACGTGGGCGGCCATTTACAGCTGAGAAACCCAGTCCCGATGTAAAGAAAACAGCACCAGAAGTCCCTCAAGTTAAGAAACCTGCTCAAGATCTGAGTCGACGTCCCAGGAGCAAGTCGCCAGCTTCATCCTCCGTGCCAGCTAAACCACGATCTACACGTTCACACAGCGCAGAGCTGTCATTCGCTGCTGGTCTGCCTTGTAAGTAGAGCCTTCCTTGGATTTGTAATGTATCTTATGAATATTGCAACATTCAAACTTAGTTGTTTTACCGTTCAATTCCATTCCTGTATCTAAATTGTTTTCCCTTATATTTAACTGAAAGACTGGTCAAATATATGTTATATACATCAGATTGACCTCCTGCGTTCTCCCCAGGATTTTATTTGGTCAAAATATGCCAATTTATCATTATTTTTCTCATATTCAAGTGGGTGAAAAATAATCTCAGGTGGGTGCAGGCCTATTATTAAAATCTCAAGTGGGTGAAGCGCCCACTTGCTTTAATGCTAAGGAGATCACTGAATCAGCAATGTGGCTTCTGTGATACAGAAGAATTCAAAGAACTTACAAACCATTGAGAACTGTTCAGATTAGAGAGGTGTTTAGATATACATGTTTTACTGCATTTAGTTTACATTTATATCAATTCTGTTTACAGCTAAGCCCAAGAGAACTAGGAAGAACTCTGGATATACAGACAATTCAGAACAAGGTATATAAATATTATTTTGTAATATACAAGTATGTACTACTCCCCTCAACAAACTGTTTATAATTTCATAAATCCAATTATTGCATAATTATTATATACAGCACATTAAAGGGATTTTCAATGTCTTCAATTCTGACAAAGTTCTCATGTATATTTACTATTCATTTGACCACAAGTGGTGCATATATTTATAGTCTCAAATTTTTTATTATCCCATCGAACGAAGTTCGGAGGGATATAGGGAACGCCTCCGTCCGTCCGGGCAATAACTCAAATACCGTTGGCCCGATTTTGTTCATATTTTTGTACACATATACCTTATGGGGGTAGAAGTTCTGCTCGAAAGCCGATTTTCAAAATGGCCGCTCATTTCAAAATGGTGGCCATTTTAGTGCCGATTTTACAGTAATTTAGGTGCAATATGTAAAACTGTTATATCAATATGTTTTAAATGTAAAAAAATTATAAAGGACATTAATAATGCTACAAATGTAGATATTAAAGAAGCACATGGCAGCCATCTTGAAAAATGGCGGCCTTTACTCGTCATTTTACGATTTTTGCTATAACTCAAAAAATAGTGGAGCGATTTTGTTCATATTTGGTATGTGAATACTATAAGCATTGTACACTGTCTAAAGACACTTTTGGTAGAAGGTGGCCATTTTGAAAAAAAAATTGAAAAATGGCCGCCATTTTAATGTATTTTACTATAACTCGAAAAGTAGTGGAGCGATTTTGTTCATATTTGGTATGTGAATACTATAAGCATGGCACACTGTCCTATGACACTTTTGGTAGAAGGCGGCCATTTTAATGTATTTTACTATAACTTGAAAAATAGTGGAGCAATTTTGTTCATATTTGATATGTGAATACTTTAAGCATGGCACATTGTCTAATAAAACTTTGGGGAGTAGTCAGCCATTTTGAAAAATGGCCATCATTTTTATGTGTGTTATTTTACAAGTACATGTGCGATTTTTCAAAAATTTTAGAGGTGGCTTCTGAAAAGCATATTATTTCTTCTGATGACAACTTGGCTAGTGAGCAACCATTTTGAAAATGGTGGCCTTTCTGGTGTGTTGTTTTATGATATTTGCTATTCTTTTGTAAAAATGCCAGCCATTTCTGTTCGATGGGATTCGCTACGCTTTGGCGTTGCCGTTGTTCTGGTTCTGGATTGTGTTCAGTGTTTGGCATTCAGTATCTGTAACAAATGTTGGTGGTGACATTTTGCATTTTGTTATTTCCTTGTATTATTTAATGTATTAATAAAATGACATTCTCTCAGTTTCAGTATCAGAAGAAACAGATTCTGAAAGTGACATCTCTGTTGATGAGAAGAAAGAGCCAGAACCAATGGAGACTGATCAGCCTCCAGAACCAAAGAAAGAACCTCTTCCAGTAGAGCCACCTAAGCCATCGAAAGCAAAAACCACTGAACAAAAAGACAATGTAAAAACCAGGGATGAAAAGCCAACAAAAAGTGACAAATTAAAAGAAGTGAAAACTGAAGTAAAAGCTCTTGAGCAAAAGGAAACCTCTCAAAAGGACAAAGAGTCAGTTGAAGTTAAGGCAAGTGAAGAATTGGAAGAGAAGATAGTAGACGATGATATGAAAACTGAAGAAAAGGAATTTACTCCATCAGAAAAAGAACAAAAGGAAGAGAAAGAAGCTAAGACTGTAGCCACTAAAGAGGTCAAGACAAAACCTATTGTCAAGGAGACCAAACCTGTAAACAAAGAGCCTAAAGTAGAAATTAAGCCTCAAACAACTGAAGATATTACAACTATGAAATCTGAAAAAGTCGAAGAAAATATTGAAACTGAAGTCAAACCTGAACCGAAACAAGCCAAAAAGACACCCAAGGGTAAATTAGCAGAGAAAAAAGAGACAGCTAAGCGTGAACCAAGTGAAAGGAAACGTCAAATCAGTGAGTCCAAAGTGCCTAAAGAAGAGCCTCAACCCCCTAAGCTTGAGGAAGAAGCTCCTGTTGAGAAAGAATACAGCCATGATGACCCTCTACTTGATATCGCCACCAGAGGAGTGGAGAAAGAAATGCAGGAAGAGGAAAGCAAGAAAACTAAGGAAGACGCCAAAAAGAAGAAAACAAAGGCAGTTTTACTAGACAGAAAAGCAACAATTGTTTTGGAGAGAAAACTTAAACAGAAGGAATCTCCAGAGAAATCAAAAGAGGATAAAGATGGCGAGAAAAAGAAAGTGCAGAAGAAAGTTAAAAAGAAGAAGAAAACAGCTGAAGACACAACAGCCAAAGTTAGTGGAGAAACACTCAATGAGGATGGTGAAAAAGATCCTTATGACTTTGGAGATTCAGAATCTGTAGAAGAACCAATCAAATTAGAGCATGTGGAAAGACGCGATCCAGTTAAATTTGATCGTCAGTATGACAGTTTGAAAATTGAAACTGTGGAAAATCAGGAGATTAACCCGCCGACAATTCCCAAAGTTGACGCAGTTGTAAATGACTCTAAACCAGAGAGCTTGAAATCTCCGCAGGCTGGTCCTAGTAAATCGAAACCTCTGCATGCTCAGGACGATTACGTAGCCAGGATAGATACTTTATTATCAGCAACATGCATGGAAAATACTCCCCCTACTACACCCGATACCTCTCCCAGGAGACAAGAACCTTCATCAGATATGTCACCCCTCCCCGAAGAATCATACAGTACTACCCGCAGTGAACATGAAGCCAATATCGAAGTGGAACACTTCATGCATGATCGGAGGAGTCATCCAGCAGGTGATGAGTCGCCTAATGGTTGTAATGCCTCCACAATTTCTAACAGTAGTGGAGGTAGTAGTGGCAATGCCCCTAGTTCAGAGAGCAGTATTGAACCTACCAGTAAACGTAAAATTGTTGAGTCCCCCGATGAACAAATAGCCGGAAAAAGGCGGAAACGTGGCCATAAAAGAGGCAGCTCAAACAAAACACATAAAACTAAAGAAAACAAAGGTAGGCGATATTCTGTCAGTAAATACTAAATATCTGAACTAAAAAGGTTTATTAAAAGCATTTGTTAAAATATTTGTAAGATATAAAATTGTTTTGTCTACATTTCTGTTAGCGCTTTTGGCAATATAATTAGTACTCTGCTAATTGTGTTGAATGTTATTGTACATAGTAAGACAATTGTGCTGATTGTTATTGTACATGGCAAGACAATTGTGCTGATTGTTATTGTACATGGCAAGACAGTTGTGCTGATTGTTATTGTACATGGCAAGACAATTGTGCTGATTTTTAATGGACACGACAAGACAATTATACTGATTTTTATTACACATGGCAAGACGATTGTGTTGAATGTTAATGTACATGACAAGGCATTGCTTTCATTGTTATTGTACGTAGTAAGACAATCTTGTTGATAGTTTAGTACATGACAGGGCATTGTGTTGATTGTTGAATTATTCTATGTCTCTTATATCTGTACTTATTACTAATTTGTGTGGTATTTATGTTTTAACAGGAAGTGACAGTGATGAGGCTTCCACTGCTGATCCGTCCCTAGCCAATTCCACAGCCTCACTTTCAACTTCGCCACTGAAAAAGCCAACATATGAACCAAGACCAAGATCTCCAAGTTCTTACAAATACAACTTCCATCTAGGTATGTTTGCACTGTACATGTCTCAATTGATCATGTGAAATGTTGAAAGTACATGCTTCTACAAGTCTACCTTAAAGCAATCATTTCTTTATTGATTGATTTCAATTGCCAGTCCTTTCATATGGTATATGAAAGTGTGTGATCGTTTATCATTTTTAAGTATAGTAACATCTCACTGCAGTGGATACTTCAGTGTTTGTTGGTTCATATTTGTGGGATGTCCCATGCTATTTTCCCTAATTTAGTATCTTCCAATGTGAGCACACGCCCACATCATAATAGTTGGTTATTCACAGCATCTACTTTGACAGGTTTTACTGTACTTTCATGTCATTATCCCAACGAACGAAGTTCGGTAGGGATAAAGTGAAGCCCTCCGTCCGTCAGTCCGTCAGTCAGTCCGTCCGTCCGGAAGATAACTCAAATACGAGTTGACGGATTTTCTTCATATTTAGTGGAAAGATGTATATTGGTGAATAGTTGTACGCAAAAAAAAAATTTTTTCAAGATGGCCGCCGCTTTAAAAATGACGGGACTTTTTCGCAAAAACCATAAATTTTTCATTCTAAACCAAAGTAATTAATATTATTGTTTGAAATTTTGGTAGTATATTCGCAACATCTATCTATTTCACATATATTCCGTGTTTTTCATCCTGACCCCCAGGGGCTGTGTATGGGGGGTCAGGAAAAAATTTTTGCTAATTTTTAGATCTTTCTGAAGTATAGCTTTATTATACTCAAATGAAAGGCAATTAAGAGTAGATTGCAAATATTGTATCTTTTTCTGATTCGAGCCTCGTAAAATTCAAAATGGCCGTCTAATGTACGATTTCGCAATAATTTTTCGATCCCTTCAAAGTATGGCTATATTATACTCAAATTGAAGGAATTTTGGAGTAGATCACAATTATGGTATTATTCTTCAGATTTATACCTCAGAAAATTCAAAATGGCTGCTTTGCAGGAATTCGCAATTCTAAAATTTAAATTTTTCAATTTTAACCAAAGTAATGAGTATAATTGATTGGAATTCGGTAATTGATATTTTGTTCGTTGGGATTTGCTACTCCGCGGAGTTGCCATTGTCTAGTTAAATTATGTTTGATTGTTCATGGAATATCCCGTCCCATTAACTAATTTTGATAAGAATATACAAATACAAACACCTTTCGATCTGATCACCACATAATAACAGTTGCTCGTTTAGAAGTGTAGTGTCCATTTATATGGGATTTACTGTACTTTTATGTCGTAAGACAATAATTTTAATTGTATACGCAGAGGAAGGAGCACACCTTGTGGGTGAAGAGAGGATCGCATTCATCCAGGCCAAGATGCAGGAGATTCGCAAGATCTACGGGGAGTTGAAGCAAGATCTGGCCTCCATGGACAGGAAAAGGAAGCGGGCCAGGAGGAGGGAGAGGGAAGGTATGAGAAAGCTGTTGCAAAAGTATAATCTAAAAGTAATGTGCCTTAATCTGATGTTTTGATTATTGATTAGTAATGGGGCTTAATCTGATGTTTTCATTATTGATAAGTAGGGGTGAGACGAGTCAAAAAAATCCGATTCGAGTCAGAAAATGACGATTCGAGTTTCGAATCCGTTTCGAGTCGCGCGAAGTGCGAACAACATCGCTTTTGACCGTTCGTATTTTTAATGCGTCAGTGGTGGAAAGCCGGAAATATAAACAAACACAATTCGTCGTAAGTTTATTCTGATTTTATTACATATATTCTTTCATTTATGTGTACATACAATATAATAATTTAATACAAGCATATCCAAGTCATTGAAACTTATATATTCAACGCAATATCGAGTAAAAACATGCATATTGACAGTATTTTTCTGAATTTTTTTATTTTTTCGAATTTTTTTCTCAACTCGAAAATGATTCGATTCATCAACTTCGACTCAATTCGACTCGACTCGAAGCCCCAAACCCGCGAGTCCTCGACTCATCGGGTTGTCGTCTCACCCCTATTGATAAGTAATGGGGCTTAATGTGATGTTTTCATTATTGATAAGAAATGGGGCTTAATCTTATGTTTTATCTTTATTATTGATAAGTAAGTGGGCTTAATATGATGTTTTATCTTTATTTTTGATAAGTAAGTGGGCTTAATATGATGTTTTATCTTTATTATTGATAAGTAATTTGGCTTAATCTGATGTTTTGATTATTGATACAATGATAAGTAACATGGCTTAATCTGATGTTTTCATTATTGATAAGTAATGGGGCTTAATCTGATGTTTTCATTATTGATAAGTAATGGGGCTTAATCTGATGTTTTCATTATTGATAAGTAACGGGGCTTAATCTGATGTTTTCATTATTGATAAGTAATGGGGCTTAATCTGATGTTTTGATTATTGATAAGTAACATGGCTTAATCTGATGTTTTCATTATTAATAACTAACGTGGCTTAATCTGATGTTTTCATTATTGATAAGTAATGGGGCTTAATCTGATGTTTTGATTATTGATAAGTAATGGGGCTTAATCTGATGTTTTCATTATTGATAAGTAATGGGGCTTAATCTGATGTTTTCATTACTGATAAGTAACAGGGCTTAATCTGATGTTTTCATTATTGATAAGTAATGGGGCTTAATCTGATGTTTTGATTATTGATAAGTAACATGGCTTAATCTGATGTTTTCATTATTAATAACTAACGTGGTAAGATGTTTTCATTATTGATAAGTAATGGGGCTTAATCTGATGTTTTGATTATTGATAATAATTGGGCTTTATCTGATGATTTGATTATTGATAAGTAATGTGGCTTAATCTGATGTTTTCATTATTGATAAGTAACGGGGCTTAATCTGATGTTTTCATTATTGATACGTAGTGTGGCTTAATCTGATGTTTTCATTATTGATAAGTAACGGGGCTTAATCTGATGTTTTCATTATTGATAAGTAATGGGGCTTAATCTGATGTTTTCATTATTGATAAGTAATGGGGCTTAATCTGATGTTTTCATTATTGATAAGTAATGGGGCTTAATCTGATGTTTTATCTTAAGTAATGGAGCTTAATCTGATGTGTGTTTGTTTTTCTATTTTTAAAGAATTTGCACAACAATCTTTACAAAAACTTGAGTGCATTTATATTATCATCATATCTGTTTAAATAAGAATGATTTCTAAATTATATTTTGTCTAACAGGCTTGATAGATAATTGTTGGATGATGCAACAAAGTCATAAATGGTCACCAATTGCATGTTCTGTGGCATATAAAGTGTTGTCTTTTTGCAGCTGCAGCTGCTGCTGCCGCAGCGTGTCTGTCTACTCAGGGTGCTGGAGGAGAAGCAGAAAAGGCATAATCTACCCAGAGTGCATTTAGAAAGACACACAAGGCACATTATACCCAGGGTACACTGAGAGACACATAATGCACGATGCACCCAGGGTGCATTGAGAAATACAAACAAGGCACAGTGTACCCAGGATGCAATGAAAAAAGACATAATCTCCATAGGGTACTTGAACTTTACCTGTGAAACATATTGAGCAGTATTTCGTACTTGACATGTATATAAACCTACATATTAAGTTTTTCCAAACAACTACAATCAACATTAAAGGTAGATGACAGTCATGAATTTGTACAATTGTAGGCAGTATTCGGAACTAAACTGCTAAGAAGAGGTTTATCATTGTCATTGTATTTATAAACACAATGATAAGGATACAAAAATGTACTAAGCATTATTAAAGGTGAGAAATACAGGTGCTCTAAGCCATATATAGATCTATGCAGTGTCATATACTCCAACATAGTTTTTCAGGTCAACTGGCCAAAACTAAATTACATGTACCAATTACCAGTTGTCATGTTGTGAAGTCAATGCTGAAGTAATCAGCTGTTTGGTTGTAAAATCCATTGGGTCCATTGACCCATGGGTTGGTGCTTTATGGTGTATCATGGATCTATATCACATCTATCATTATAACAGGGCATCCAGGGCTCTTACACGGAAATATTTAGGGTGTGGTGGAAACATCTTCAGCATAAGCTTTCAGTCGTGATTAATCATATTTATGTTAATTTTATCCTTTTTACATGCTAATATTGTCTATTTAGTCAACTTTAGACTGTGGGAACAATCAATATATGCCAATAGGTTGTGGTGGGAGCTACTAAATAGACTGTGGTGCTGCGCCACAATCTAAAAGCCTAGTGAGAGCCCTGGTATCAATAGAAATGACAGGTGATGTAACATACAGTACTTATAATACTGACTACTCTGGCTGCCTTACTATACATTATGGGATCAAACATGCACGGTGTACATTTAATGAAAATTTTACTCACATATAAAGAACTGCCAGCTCAAAAGTCCAAGCACAGCATTGGACATGTGAATATCGACAGTATTTTATAATATAGCAATATTATTGTAAAGTCATTACTTTCAAATTAATTGTACAAGCCAAGCTTGAAACATCGTAATATGTACAACCGTACATTGTATATTTTACAATACAATATTCAGTTTTACAATTCAAACTTTAATCTGTCAAATGTTGATTTGTTTACATAATGAAAAAATGAAATTATGGTAATCAAACATTTTTACATTGATGTAAAGTGCAGCAGCACTGGTGTTTATCAATATTGCTAATACCAATCAAATTGACTATTTAATTGTGTTTTTGTGTACTGGTCTTCTAATGTTGTTAAATGTAAGAGTTTGAAATATGTCCAAAAATATTGTAAATCTTACTGATATGAATTAAAACTGAACTGATTTACAACTAAATCAATTAAATGATACATGCAATGTTAAAACATGCAATTTACCTTGTTAAGTCACCATGACATATTGCTACAGTCTCCAACTTTTTTGTGGACAGTGGTTGGACTTCAGCAATTGGCGACTGTAATAAATGGTATCTGTATCAAATGGCAGATGGGGACATTTTGCATGTTCAGGCCTTGTTGTTGATATTGTTAAGTTGGCAACAGATTTGCAAAGAATATAGTTGCCTAGTAATGGGCATGTCCTGGTATTCAATTCAATTCTATATATACAGGATACAGCCTAGAAATTATTTGAGGGTACCATTTGAGCATATATAAAGTATTTGTATTGTACGCAACAGTGTGATGACTGAATTCCACTTACTGTGATATACATATATGTCAACCTGTACCATTGGTATGGTACACTGTTCCATTGGTAAGGCATGATGTACCATTGGTATGGTACAATGGTTCATTGGTAAGGCATGATGTACCATTGGTATGGTAAATGTTCCATTGGCTTGCCATTATGTACCATTGGTATGGTACAATGTACCATTAGCATGACATGATGTGCCATTGGTATGGTAAATGTTCCATTGGTATGCCATTATGTACCATTGGTATGGTACAATGTTCCATTGGTATGGCATGATGTATCATTGGTATGGTACACTTTACCATTGACATTGCATGATGTACCATTGGTATGGTACAATGTATTGAAGATAAACAAAATACAGTTTTGTTTAATAACTAATACTTAAACATTGACTGCCCCATCATGTTAATTAATGTTAAAGAAATGAGGGTGCGAACTCCACTTTTGCCATAATCTCCTTAATGTTGATGTACAACAGTTCATCTCTATGTTTTTTCCATGTCTGGATGTGTATGACTTAACATGTGAATCAATGAAAAATAACAAAATGTTCTCATGAGAGAGGTGTTCTTATGAGAGACTTCGTATATACAGGTTTTACTGTAACTGGTTTAACTGAGCCCTGAAAGTTGTGTCAATGGAAAATCAGTGTCCTAGTTAAGATTAAGAATATAACTGTTATTAATTTTGTGGTCCAGTTATGGGTGTATGCTATATTTGAAGATATTTTGTAGTGGACAGATGTACGTGTTATGCCACACTGTGTGTAAACATTAAGAAAGTTACATAGATTTTATACTGTATTGAATCTATTAAGATGTGATATAACATGCTTATTAATTGTATTGGGTTTGTAGGACTGAGAAAATAGAATCTCATAGTTCTATACTTTCAATATTCATGTAAATTAATTTATTCATGATTCATCAAATAAATTTTATCTTAGCTATAAACAGTTTTAAAAGGATTTGGTTTTTAGGGGAATATGTATTTTGTTTTACCCAGATAAGAGTGTGACCGCCAACACAATGTTAGCTCAAATGGGTGAGCGTAAGGAAGCACCAACTAAATTAGCTATATAATTATAGTCTTTAAGAGAACTTGGTTTTTAACGGAATTTTGTTTTATCCAGATAAGCGTATGACCGCCCATACATCTTAGCTCAAACATGTCAAATGAGTGTGTTTTAGAAAGCAGCGAGTTGCCCCACACAGTCCGTCCCTCTGTCTATATTTTCATCGCTCCATCCATTTAATTGATATTGAAACTTCTGTACCATATGAACCATGTACATATTGAATTCATCATTTACACAATGTTGATATACAGAAGAACATGTGAACTTCGAATATCTTTTTGTTCGTTGAAGGTGTTCACTACAGAGAGGGTAATTTATGCAGAAGTCGGTGAGTTGAGTATGTGCTGTGGAAGGGTGTCAATTAGAGACAAGTGTTCACTAAGACAAGTTTTACTGTATCAGACCCCCAGCATTAGGACAACTGGGCTCTTTGTTGTGTTAAAAATTCGAAAATTACTCGCCACCCTGTCGGGAGGCTCTCGACCTGTCAAAATTAGGAAATATTGAATTGAGATGTTTTACCAATAGGCAAAAATAATACTTTGCACCCTGTTGAGGAAAAACTGTGAAGACCAAGTGTATGTAATGAGGCAACATTTATTGTTGAGAAACAACAGTTAACTTTTCTGATATATTTCACAACAAAGTATCGAGTCTGGTGTTTAAATCATCATGGAGTAACATACAATGGTATTTCACTAGTCCAATACATCTTGTGATTTACTTTGTATTTATCGCCAAGCAATCATCACTGTATGTAATAAAAAGTTATAATCCCAATTTAACTTCATAGTAACGTTGAAAACCTGATGCTCTTTCACGTAATCACTGAGATTTAAGCCATCTATTGGCATTATAATAACGCCAGCTGACCCTGCAACCGTCTTGAAATTAAAAACCGGTGAAATTGGCTTTTCATGTATGCCAAGCCAAACAGAGATGACTGCCAAGTCACAGGAATCGCAGGTAACGTATGCCACTGAAAGGACCTGCTGAACACTTCCCGGAGGTTTGCCGGATGCGACTAGCTCCATTGTAATCCAGTCACCTACTTTGTTACCTTGGTAACCATCCATCACATCGTTACGATGCTCCATAATGTCATACTTTTCATACCTGCGCATAGATGAATTACTGAAGAATTTGTGAAATCCTTTCATTTCTATCGCTCTCAGATTGTCGTATTTGACGGGGATACTGATATTGCTTTTGATCATTTCTGCCCAAGACTGATTGCTAGAGCTCCTTGGATGTACATGGCGCGTATTAGTGAAACATACGGGGTTTGTAATCCATGTACTATTGTACAAAGGAGTAGGAAGGGATGGCTCTGGTGGATCCACGACCTCCAATGACTTCAAAGTTCCCTCAATAATACCAGCGAAAAATTTCATAAGAATAATCGCAACATAGCGGTGTGAGAGAAGACCCGGATGAAACAGGTCAAATCCAATAACATCCAACATACGGAAGCCAGGTTGTAGGCCATAAACTGGACAAACAACTCGATGTAACGACACCCCGGTTATGTCGTAATATTTGAGCAATGGTTTATAATAATTCTGTTCAAGATCGAACGAACAATTATGACCATTAGTCAACTCAAGTATTAGGAGTCTACTATCAATAAAACCTGCCGAAATAAAAACTGGTTTTTCACGATGCATTTTTGTATTGCGTATCACTTCTTCGAATGGCCGTCCCCTTTCTTTAAATCCAGGTTGTGAAAAAGATAATCTGTCATTTGTAGAGAGTTCACCAATGAGAATATCAGTAGACTCTGCATCAACATGTGCATCAAGGCAATAGCCATATAGTTCACTGTTCGCGCCGCTCATTGCAACGTTCCGAGATTCTACACGAACGCCTAAAACTGTGCGTAACCATTCCGCCAGTATCTCCATGTGCAGACAAGGAAATTCACACGAGGCCTAAAAATAAATATTTGATGATACATATTATACACTCAGCATATTATAACTGTCAGCAGATTTCGTAATATCATTGGAAGTATTTCAAGCAAAGCTAGAATGAAGGAGAAACACCAAAAATATCATAAAATAAACTGTCAGTAAAATGAAACATCCTAGCCTTTATACTCAATTGGCAAGAAAATAGTACAAAGGGGAGAACTAATATCTACGTTAAAACGTGGTTCACCTTAACCTCCATGTGAATAGCCTATACCTGTCAAGAATGGGCGAAACTTTGATAATTAACACTGTAATAACACAACTATCAGAAGATATAGGACTACCCTGCTGCTCCACCAAGTATATATAGAATTCATATTTTAGATATAAATATTTTATACATTGGTGTGCTTGTGGTTTGGGTTGACCAACAGAGCGTGGATTCAACATCTAAATTAACATGAAGGAAACTAAATAGATAACAAGATGCCACAGTTGCACATGGAATTATCTGATATTTTTTAGTGAAAAAGAAAAGTTGATAATTTTGAAATAGCAAATATGAACAAGGTAGGGTAATGCAGATATTGATAATCGTACATGTAGATTCACCTTATATGTGAAGTCCGATTCAAATGGAGTACTTTGAATTTAAAAAACATGCAATCAAATGACCATACAAGTTAGGCCATGTACAAATGTTTATATTTTATTATAGGCCTATACTGTTTCTTTGAATGCTTATTCTTTGATTCAAAGTACTCAATGGATTGTGAATCGAACTTCACGTGTGTTTTTATTTTCAGAAATTCATTCAACCAAAAATACATCTGTCTTAAACTTGGCTGCCTTATCATACTTGGATCTTTGTCAAGCAACCCTGTTATTATAAACCAGTAAATCACACCTTTACTCCTCCACCAGCAGAAACGGATCCACCAATGGTTGCCATGGAAATTGGTCTTTTCTTCACAATTGCATCTCTAAATATTTTCTTCAACTTGGCTGTATTTCCTCTCCACAGGAACGCTCTGTCATACATCTCTTGTGTGAGGTTGGTGACCGGGATGCTATTCTGTAGCCGTGCAAGGATGTCGCTACCTGCACTATGTGTTCCATGCTCTGTAATAATGTGTGTTGCATTCCCAATCGTGCTGTATTCGCGTATGTAGCGTACACTAGGGAAGTTTGTCGAGATGGTAATATTGATATATCCATAAAGAAAGAGATGTAACAATCCCGAGAGTATAATGATGATGATGATAAACAGAAATAGCTTCTTTGGTGTCACTATGATTCCTGGAGTACATGCTAAAAAGTAGTAAAGGCATGATTAAAATAGTGGTCTTGTGTCTGAATTGTGTATAATATCTATTATTTTAGGAGTTTATAAAATCTCAAATCTAATTATGACAAATTTAACTCCCCTCTTGTCGTGGTCACATTTGCACCGATCTTCAGTTGCCAGGCCGATGAGTATTTTGTTCAAAATTTAATGCAATTTTGGACAGAATACTAATTGGTGGGACGCAGGTTCTTCACAATTTTCCTGATCTAATCTAACAAACTATAAATTACAAAAAAACATACCTGATGAGCGCTGAGTTTCGTCCATATTTACGCATAGCGACTGAATAAACACGATAATGTTTTCGAGGTTCGACGTTGACCAACAATATATATGTACAGGGTGAGGCAATAAATATCCACTACTAAGCTAGTATATTGTTCTTTATATTTATCGCCAACACTAAGTTGATTAAGGAAGTTCACTTTCAGAAAAATTGGAAAAAAATATTTTAAAGAAGCTATTTCAACATGATTTAATTTTTTATTTCAAACTATGGATTCTACAATATTTTTTTTATTTTTTTTTATTTTTATTAAAACTATTTATTATCTAAAATTAAAATCAAATACATAATAACACTTGACACTTTTAATAAGTGTATCAGCGTGAAAACATTTAAATATTAACCTGAGTCAAATGGAAATTGTGTAGATGTCCACATAAAATCTTAAAAAAATATTACCCAATCAATTATTTTAAATTTCGTAAAAATACAAAATAATTATCATGCGGATCTAACCTAACTTAAAGGCAGAATCAGATCTATAGGGGGCGACAAAATTACAAGCAACTTGTATAACTGAATGACCAATCTATTCCTTACAATATCAAATACAATATCTCCAAAAAGATTCACAATATGTTATAAATTGGTGAAGTTATTAATGATTCAAAGTGAAAAAGTGGGTGAAAAATGTTTAAATTCTCCCAAATAATAAGAATGGTAACCATTCTTACAGAAAAATAATATATTATTGTAAAAATCTTAAGTTTTCCTGGAATAAAGTATGCACTTTTCTGATTTTTAGAAAATAGACATGACAAGGAATGTCATGAACCAAAAATATTCTAAAATTGGAACAATTTTTTGTTTAGCCTGCTCGCTATCTCTGATTCTCTCTTTAATACCATCAAATAATGTCCACATGCATTAACCTATGAACAGTTGTATCATGGCGATATGTCCAGGGGCCTCTTGAAGGCCACATTCACTGATCAAATATAGGAAGTGATGAAAACAGTAGTTGCGTAAAAAAACCGTTGCCGACGTTGGAGAGTATTATGTTGGAACATTTGAAAAGGGAAATTGAAAAGGAATGGTTGTAAAGTAATGTGTTGTTTTCGAGCTGTTTCTATTTTCATATATCAAATGGGAGTCATTTTTGGCTTACCCTGTATATTGTTAAACTAAACAGCACTAGCGAAGCGTTTCCATTCACGGTACAGTAGAGACCGTAATACAGTGAATACACATATTAAATAAAAACCGATCCATTCAAAGCTAAAAATAATCAACCTCTCAACCGAGTATGTATGTGTATACAGTGTATGTAAGCAAATAAACAAAGCAAATTAGTCACATTTATAAACAGTCGGAGTTCTGTCATAGCATGAGGACATATGATTACGGACGAAAAATAAAAATTGTACCAGGGGGACCTGTTACCAGTTTTGCTAAAATCATGGGAAAAGTACTCAGAATGGTGAAAATAAGTCCCCATATAAAGTTTAAACCACTTTGGCTTATATTGGAGTCTTACCCAATGTTATCAAAGTGTGACTGAAAAAAAAAATTCAATTTCAAAAAGTGGCCTTTGATTGACTTTTTGTTCCAAAATTTGTGAATTTATTTAAAACTAACTTTTAGAGGTCACACATATCTTTTAATTGGCCACAATTCAAACCAATGCATAGCATTCATCCTCGCATGTTTTTTGCCCAAAAAATCGGTTCATAAATAAGCGAGAAATGAACCATTTGAAAGCCCATGAATGAACTTATCAGTGTATGAAAATGGTTCCGAGAAAAATGCATTTCAAAATCTTAGTTCTCATAGAAACCAATGGTACAATGATATCTAAAACATAATTTATTCTTTCTCTTAACCTGGTTAGACAATCAACGTTGGTTTATTATTGACGTCTAGCCTATTTAGAAAAGATTGAAAAAAAATTACAATTTTTTCAAAAAGTTTTTGCTAGTTTTTGACTAGCCTGTACTGAGTTGGAAATGGTAGTATATGTATACATGTACATACATACATAACTAAGGCTGATAAAAAGAAAGAGGGATGATCATGGACATAGAAACTCCAGGAACTTTACAACAGGGGGAGTGGGTCATTAGTTAGTCCATGGGCTTTCAACAGTTGAAAGCCCATGTTAGCCCAAGCATGGGCTCTACCACCCCGTTACATATTATGTTAAATATAGTGTGACCAACGAAATAACGAATAATCAAATACAGTTAGTTATCCAACATTGAACTTTTGAGATGTTCCCTTATTTCTGTATTTTATTAATGTGTCCCCGGGTTTCAGATTGAATTCATGAAAAAGAGAAATCGCACTGAACGAAAATATAAAAGATTAGTTTGCTACAGTACGTTTCATTGGTTCAACTTTTTATATGCCAGCCAATCATAATTTATTTAACAAAAAACCAATTGTTTAGAAAATGGCGGACAATTTCGAAGAATTTATTTGTAAATATTCTTTTGATGGAATTTATACAGCCTATATAGAATAGTAACTCGAGAAATTTGGTGATCAAATGTAGTAGATGATGATCGAGTAAGTATTCCATCATACATATAGTGTTAAATATTGAAATGATCGCTGACGGCTCTGCTGACTCTGAGACTGAGTCAGTGAGTGACGGTCAGACTCAGAATCCAGACCCATTCTCAGTCACTGTCTCACGTCAGTCACTCTGAGACGACCATAGGCTAAGGGTTAAGTAATAGTAAGCTGTATATCTTATATATATACTTTGTCATAGGGCTACTTCGACGAGACCCTATCTGTTGCAAGACTAACGCCTGGCGTAACCGTCACCATGTTATTCAGTGTTTTTTAAGTAGCGCAAGGATCCTACCATGACCGTGGTAATGTTATCATGAAAGCCTGGTATAACCGCGACAATGCTGTATTATATTGCAATGCCTGCCATGACCGTGACAATGTAATATAGTTCTGCAAGGCTTGGTATGACCGTAACAATGTAATATAGTACTGCAAGGCCTGGCATGACCGTGACAATGTAATATAGTATTGCAAGTTCAGGTATGAGAGTGGTAATGTAGAAATTTACGATTCGGACTGCTATAACCGTGACAATGTGTATTGCAAAGCCTGGCATGACCATGGCAATGTAATATAGTATTGCAAGGCTTGGTATGACCGCCATGGCAATGTGATATAGTGTTCCAAGTTCGGGTATGAGAGTGGTTATGTAGAAATTTATGATTGCTATAATTGACCGTGACAATGTGTATTTGAAAACCTGGCATGACCATGACAATGTATTATGGGATCGCAAAGCCTGGTATGACCGTAACAATGTAATATAGTATTGCAAGGCCAGGTATGAGGGTGGTAGTGTAGTGATTTAGGCTTAGTTCTACTATGACCGTTATAATGTATTGCAATGACTAGTAAATATGTATGACATTAATGCCAGGAATATCCTTAACAATTTTAAGTGATCCTCATTACAATTTAACAGTTTAATACTATGATCATGGTGTTTAACTACCTTAATCATGTCAAAATCAAAATTACTACTATACATTAATATTCACATTCGCTTATAAACCACAATAAAGGCTACGGCCGCGCCAGGCTTCCACGATAACACTTCCAGGGTCATGACAGGCCTTGCAATAGAATACAGCATTGTCACGGTTATACCAGCCTGTCACGGTTATACCAGGCTTACACGATAACACTACCACGGTCATGGCAGGATCCTTGCGCTACTTAAAAAACACTGATTAACATGGTGACGGTTGTGGCAGGCGTAAGTCTTGCAATAGATAGCATGTGACTTCGACCATGGGATCATTTCGACTTTCCTTCTTCTAAGGCCACTGTATCATGGCCTTCCAGTACAGATATATTTCTGCATGAACAACTGGTCATGTCGTAATCATAAAATTTGAAATCATATGTCCGCCATTTTTCCACATCACAATTTGAATTGGGAGTCTTGGTCTTATTACCTCACCAAAAATTCTAAAACACACATAAAGTGATCAGTGTATTAGTTCACATCTTCTGGATCGCTAACTTAGAATTTACAGCCAGTTACTAATGTCAGACGTTAACGACATTTCGTCCAGTTTTCGAACATCGCCATTTTTCTTGGAGCCATTTTGTTTTAATTTTAGACGAAATCCTGATGAAATCATGTCATATCTCATCAAGGAGCCGAGCTGGGTCCGGTTTGATTAATGATTTATTTATCTGGCGATTTTTAAAATATTCAATAAATTTATGACACCCCGGCCAGCTTTTTTCAAATAGAGTTCACAGTATTCCAGATGAAATCCCCTCTAGCCAAAATATTGGCTAGAGACTCGAGTAAATTTCGACCATTGCCAATAATTCATATTTCAGGCCATCTTTGATTGAGATCTCAGACATTGGAGTTTTCGATTTATTTAAAACTTTCAAAAAACAAACACAGAGGACTGCCTGAAATGGAAATAAAAGCCAATGTAGAAATAGCCTCATGGTTGAAATAGCTCCATGATTAAATAACCCCATTCGTTAATTACGCATCTCCCCGATAGTTTAAGGTTCTTCGCCACCCTTCCATCATTGCAAAATATTATGTCAAAATCATGGCCAGTTGCAAAAAATACTTCACCACTGGTGACAAGTTCTCTAAATAATGTTATGTATGCCTTCTTTTCCCAATGCTTTTAACTTGAATTTTATTGCAACTTTTTCTGTATTGCAGTCTGTTACACTGCTTCAAAGCAGCCAGTTGAACCCGAAGAAATCTAAAGATTATTGTAAAGACATATTCATACTACACACAAAAGACATTTGTATATTTCAGATTATTTCAGATTATATTTCAGATTAGGCCTATCCACCATGTTAATTTTTTTTAGAATTAACATGGCAGAGAAGCATCAAAATATAAGAGGTTGCAGGCTTTATAAGCCAATTCACAAGCAATCCATGATATACAAATGTCATTTGTGTGCGATATGAATATATTTTTCTTTATATTATTGCACAACTTACATTCTTTAGATTTCTTATTTTTTACATTCAACTGGTCGCTTTGAAGCAGTGTAACAGTCTGTAGATCCAACTCCCTGTTTACTCTACAGGGCAGAAAGCTTTGTATTATTGTGATGGCTTGAATATTCTTTTCTCTTGCAAGAATGTATTTGATTTTCAGGAAAGATGGCCAGCGCAGATGTATCAAGTGAATCAGATGACTATGAAGATCGACAAAAATTTCCAAGTCGCGGACGAACACATTCAAGAAGGTTTCTTCCTAGTCCTCCAAGGAACAGTCAGGGTCTCTCAGCCAAGGTGGACAACCTCACTGATACATTACAGGTTAGATTGTATCGTGTTATTATTTATAACATGAAGACCAAACCAACTGTTGAAAATCATAAAATTGCCAGTCTACGATTTCGTTTTCAGCTCATACTTGCCAAGAGTGACTATTAAAAAAAAAAGTTCTCGCCAAATGAAATTTGTACAGGTCCTGTTTTGGGCAAGTAACTATGAATCTATACCAGCCAAACTAGACCTTATACTAGCCAACGTGTGGAAGGAAAAAATACATCCATACAGGAAACGCATTAAGTTTACTAGTAATATGCAGATATACTAGCCATTTTATTCTATACTAGTAACTCTACATCTTTTTTGTGAGGCCCAATGTTGTATCTTTCACTATTTTCTTTATTCAATCAGCCAAGATTTTCTTTAAATTATTTATGACACTTTCCTCATCATCAAATTCACCATCTAATTCAGAATCAAACTCCTCAAAACCTTCATCTGAGTCTGAGTCATCATTGTCGGAAACAGAATCATTTGTCCCTAAGGCTACAGCTTGGACATTAACCCTATCATTTGAAATGGGCACTGAATCAGGAGTAGGATCAACATTTTTATTCTGTTTTGATCTAGTGGGTTTTAGTCTGCTCTTGTCCATTCTGTCAATAAATCTTGGTTTTGTTTTATTTCGTTCAATTGTTGGGATATTTCAAGTAAGTATCGATACTATAGTCGCCACAATAATGGTATTTTGTTCTAGACACGCGTGGCAAGTTGTTTTAGCTCATTTTCGCCTCAGCAGTTTCATTTCCGCATTTGGCGAGGTGCGACAGACGAGATCGTAGACTGATTGCACGCCACCCCGCACCCCATTGAAAATCTGGAAATTGCATGCCTCCCTGTTGAAAATCTGAAAATTTCATGCCAACCCAATTAAAATTTGAAAATTGCATGCCACCATGTTGAAAACCTGAAAATTGCATTTCACCCCACTGAATATTTATACTTCCAGGACACGACTCGCAATCTGAGGGCTGTGGATCATATGCTGGGGCAATATAAAGATGTAAATGCACAGAAAACATCAGCCATTGATAAGGTGAATGATCAAGGCAGAATAATGTATTTTATCTTATCTAAGAAATGATTTATATGTGTGTGCATAGCACTTTTTGACATAAATATCCTATAAATTAATATCACTGTAACTTAGATCAAATCACCTTTGATATCAGGTGAAGAAAACTGGATGATCGGAACAATATTTAAATAATTTATATTTTAACCATATATCTGCATTCTTTTTACATACTGTATTGTGTTATACATTTTAAATTTTCTTTTGAAGAGCAAAATTTTGTTTTAGTATAAATGGCTAACAATGTTATTCTAGACTTGTTTCCATCTCTATAAAATGATACCGGAGAAAGGTAAAATGTGGTCATATCTTAATTCAAATTTTCTAAAAGAATATAATTATTTTAAAGATATTTCTTATGAACATGGTTAATGTCTAGATTTGATTTATTTTTCAGTTGCGCCAGGAGCTGTCTATGACCACCCAGAGCCTACAGAGTGAACGTGCCCGTCATTCAAGGCTGAAAGACAGTGATACGATGCATTCAAGCGATCTTGATGGTTATTCCACCAGGAGTCGAACCCGTTATCCAACATCCCCTCTGAAAGACTACAGAGTAAGAGATAGTGCCCTAATCTGGCTCACTGTGGCCTTGTTTTGCAGTTATTGCTGTAAAATCTATATATCGAAACACCTCTCTTATACTTACATCTCTTAATGTTGGTCCCAGTTTGTTATCTCCCACTGGTTCACATGTTAAGAAACCTAACAGGACACTGGTCCATAACTTATATTTGGTCAAAACATGTCTCTTTTTCATGAAATTTCTCATTTCCAAGTGGATTCAAAATGGATTCTCAGTGGCCAATGTTTAACATATCAAGTTGATGCAGCAAATATGTGTTTTAAAGAGCAGTCAGATACTAATTGAGTATATTAATATGTAAATTGTCTGATTCATTGTAGTCTCACAGTGATGCTGAGTCCAGAAGGAGGTCTCGCCATCCCAGGAGGCGTTCAAGATCTGCAGTGAGGTTTGCAGAATATGCTGATCGTGATGATGATGACCTACATGAGCTCCATAGATCTGTACGAGATCTCAATACAAGTCAAGCGAGACTCGAAGATGATTTGAATCATGAAATTTCTAGAAGAACAAGGTATAGTATTGATATCTAAACATGAACATAAAAGAAAAATCCAATCCCCTGTGATTGACCCCTCCTTCATTTTCTTATTGGACAAATGTATAGGGATGATGAAGGAGAGAGACATTGACATAAATATAGCATTTAGAGGGATAGGAGCTTAACTCAGTGTATGCCCTAAGCATATAATGTATGTGAGGGGTTGGGGGATATTTATTTTCGTAACACTAGATTTGATGATCTTAGTTTGAGGATATTTTTCATAACAACTTGTAAACCATAATGTGTTTCAGGAATGAGATTGATCAGACTCGTAGCATGGAGAGCCTTCGTAGTAGCCTTGCTAGTAGACCCCCTCCCACAGATCCTTTAACTAGTGTGGATCGAAGACTTCAAAGTCTAGAACAGGAACTACGGAATAAACCAACTCCTGCACCTCGCTCTAGTGATGTAACAAAGCTATCTACTGAACTCAAACAAGTCAGTTCAGTATTTCGATATTGCAATAAAAGTTTAATATCCAAATACTTATCTAATCTGAATACTTCTCAATGTCAATACTTGTTTTTCAGTACCATGTTATATTAATCTTCCATAGCAGGATTCCATGTGAAAAATCCTCAAAATGTTAACACCTCCCACTCTGGACACTTTTGGCTGGTCATAGTGGAGTTAGGTTTCAATAGATTTTACTGTACTTTGTGAAATGATATTTTATGAAATATAGCTCATAGTTAGGGGACACTTCACTCAAGATTCTAGAAAATTCCAGTGTTAGCTCTCCACTTCCTTGAATCTATGAAAGGTAAAAATCCCATCAAAAAATAAATGGTTTCTTTCTGGCAAGGTATACTAGTAGACCAAATCAAATCTTTGGATGGCACAAAATTGAGCCACATTATGTAAGTCTGTAAAATGTGCCATTATTGTCGCATTCAATAAACTGTATATTGTACTTTGCTATTATATAGGCCCTGCAGCAAGGTTTCAGTGATATTCAAAGCTCTCAGAGGCCCCCACCTGTACATTCAGTCCCCACAAGGTCCAGTACAGCAGAGCCTAGGGAGTACCAGCGAAAATACCTCGATACAGAAGCACAGAAACACAGAGTAGGTCCAAAGTTACTTCAAAACATCACACACACACTAGCATTATTTTCAACCTATGTCACCACCAAATAATGTAGCACAGGAGTTCATTCTGTGTTTTCATTTACATTATGTTACAGCCACAATTTGTGACCAACAGTTGGCATGTAACACTGTTGTAACCGTTTGCAATAACTAGCCAGTTGGTGACATTTTGTCATGTTAAGCAAACTGAATTCCATTTATATGTATAAAATTATTAAGGTATTAATGGTTCTGTAATGGCAGTGAAACTAAATAGTAGTTTTTGTGATGAAGCCCATATCAGGTGGGGTGAAAGGTCAAAATATTTATGTTATGAGCAGTGTTCAAAATCTTGTTTCTTCAATGATGTATCAACAAATTTTTTGTTATGTTTAAATTGTAGGTTGAGTCACAGCTGGAAACAACGAGACGTAGATTGGACCAGAGTGAAGGAGGCAAGCAGGCCTTAGAGACACAGGTAGGTATAAGATGTGTATGATATGGTCTATAGTGATATGGTATAAGAGGTATATAGATTGGACAAGAGTGAAGGAGGCAAGCAGGCCTTAGAGACACAGGTAGGTATAAGATGTGTATAATATGGTCTATAGTGATATGGTATAAGAGGTATATAGATTGGACAAGAGTGAAGGAGGCAAGCAGGCCTTAGAGACACAGGTAGGTATAAGATGTGTATGATATGGTCTATAGTGATATGGTATAAGAGGTATATAGATTGGACAAGAGTGAAGGAGGCAAGCAGGCCTTAGAGACACAGGTAGGTATAAGATGTGTATGATATGGTCTATAGTGATATGGTATAACAGGTATATAGATTGGACAAGAGTGAAGGAGGCAAGCAGTCCTTAGAGACACAGGTAGGTATAAGATGTGTATGATATGGTCTATAGTGATATGGTATAAGAGGTATATAGATTGGACCAGAGTGAAGGAGGCAAGCAGGCCTTAGAGACACAGGTAGGTATAAGATGTGTATGATATGGTCTATAGTGATATGGTATAAGAGGTATATAGATTGGACCAGAGTGAAGGAGGCAAGCAGGCCTTAGAGACACAGGTAGGTATAAGATGTGTATGATATGGTCTATAGTGATATGGTATAACAGGTATATAGATTGGACCAGAGTGAAGGAGGCAAGCAGGCCTTAGAGACACAGGTAGGTATATGATTGTGTATGATATTGTCTATAGTGATATGGTATAAGAGGTATATAGATTGGACCAGAGTGAAGGAGGCAAGCAGGCCTTAGAGACACAGGTAGGTATAAGATGTGTATGATATGGTCTATAGTGATATGGTTTAAGAGGTATATAGATTGGACAAGAGTTAAGGAGGCAAGCAGGCCTTAGAGACACAGGTAGGTATAAGATGTGTATGATATGGTCTATAGTGATATGGTATAAGAGGTATATAGATTGGACAAGAGTGAAGGAGGCAAGCAGGCCTTAGAGACACAGGTAGGTATAAGATGTGTATGATATGGTCTATAGTGATATGGTATAAGAGGTATATAGATTGGACAAGAGTGAAGGAGGCAAGCAGGCCTTAGAGACACAGGTAGGTATAAGATGTGTATGATATGGTCTATAGTGATATGGTATAAGAGGTATATAGATTGGACAAGAGTGAAGGAGGCAAGCAGGCCTTAGAGACACAGGTAGGTATAAGATGTGTATGATATGGTCTATAGTGATATGGTATAAGAGGTATATAGATTGGACAAGAGTGAAGGAGGCAAGCAGGCCTTAGAGACACAGGTAGGTCTATGATGTGTATGGTGTGTATGATATGGTCTATAGTGATATGGTATAAGAGGTATATAGATTGGACCAGAGTGAAGGAGGCAAGCAGGCCTTAGAGACACAGGTAGGTATAAGATGTGTATGATATGGTCTATAGTGATATGGTATAACAGGTATATAGATTGGACCAGAGTGAAGGAGGCAAACAGGCCTTAGAGACACAGGTAGGTATATGATTGTGTATGATATTGTCTATAGTGATATGGTATAAGAGGTATATAGATTGGACAAGAGTGAAGGAGGCAAGCAGGCCTTAGAGACACAGGTAGGTATAAGATGTGTATGATATGGTCTATAGTGATATGGTATAAGAAGTATATAGATTGGACCAGAGTGAAGGAGGCAAGCAGGCCTTAGAGACACAGGTAGGTATAAGATGTGTATGATATGGTCTATAGTGATATGGTATAACAGGTATATAGATTGGACCAGAGTGAAGGAGGCAAGCAGGCCTTAGAGACACAGGTAGGTATATGATTGTGTATGATATTGTCTATAGTGATATGGTATAAGAGGTATATAGATTGGACAAGAGTGAAGGAGGCAAGCAGGCCTTAGAGACACAGGTAGGTATAAGATGTGTATGATATGGTCTATAGTGATATGGTATAAGAGGTATATAGATTGGACAAGAGTGAAGGAGGCAAGCAGACCTTAGAGACACAGGTAGGTATAAGATGTGTATGATATGGTCTATAGTGATATGGTATAAGAGGTATATAGATTGGACCAGAGTGAAGGAGGCAAGCAGGCCTTAGAGACACAGGTAGGTATATGATTGTGTATTATGAGGTAACTCTTGAGAAACACATTCTAGGCAGAATTAAAACACACTTTATGATAGACTACTTGTATATTGAACATTTTGCCGAGAAAATATGTTCACTACAGAGAGGTTAATTTATACAGAAATCAGTAGAGTATGTGTGGAGGAAAGGTGTCTACTAGAGACAGGTGTTCACTAAATAGAGGTGTTCACTAATACAGGTTTTACTGTACTGTCATCAAGATGGTGATCGCTGATTAGTGTTTGATTATTTTTAGTAAATTTTGTAAATTTTATTATTAATTGTAAGGCAGACTAACAGAGGCAACAAATACATTCAATATACTAGTATGTTCAAAACGTTGATATTCCAGCTGGAAGATTTGCGTCGACAGCTTGGCCAATCAGAGCATGAGAGAACAGAGCTGAAGTCACGGTTGAATGAGCAGAGGTATAGCGAGGAGAACACACGGAGGAAAAGAGTTCCAGGTTTTTACCAGTTTTATACAGGGTGTCAAATAAGTCTGTGCTCCCCCTTAACTTGTATAAGTTTTATAAGAACAAATACAGTGGAACCTTTGTAAGTGAAATGCCTTTGTGTTCCACTTGGGAGGTGTTCCACTTATGAAGGTTTATTTTATATTGAGAGAATTGGTAATGAAACTTACATAATTGATTTGGACACTATTTGACACATACCTTCAAATACAAATTCACTTTAAATTCTGTCAATTTAACACATGACAGGATATCTCTTTCACATAACACAAACTTTCATAAACAAAACAATAAAATAAAGAATTTTTTTCCCACTTTGAAAATTGCGGAAAATTCCGGGAAAACTGCCTATTTGTTCAGCTTGAAATATTTCACAGATGGGCATGCTGGATAAATTACATGGTGGCCATTTTGCAGTATTTATCACTGTATGTCTTGTTTAGAAAGGCAAACAATAGAATCATGTGATTTTAACAATATTGACTTACAGTTTCAGATGAGGCTGATTCCAGTGGTTCAAGACGTCAACTGGAGAGAGAAATTGATGCTCTTAAGTCTCAAATCCATGTAAGCACTGCAGTTGACAGACATGAGGACAATATTAACAATATTGACTTATAGTTTCAGATGAGGCTGATTCCAGTGGTTCAAGACGTCAACTGGAGAGAGAGATTGATGCTCTTAAGTCTCAAATCCATGTAAGCACTGCAGTTGACAGACATGAGGACAATATTAACAATATTGACTTATAGTTTCAGATGAGGCTGATTCCAGTGGTTCAAGACGTCAACTGGAGAGAGAGATTGATGCTCTTAAGTCTCAAATCCATGTAAGCACTGCAGTTGACAGACATGAGGACAATATTAACAATATTGACTTATAGTTTCAGATGAGGCTGATTCCAGTGGTTCAAGACATCAACTGGAGAGAGAGATTGATGCTCTTAAGTCTCAAATCCATGTAAGCACTGCAGTTGACAGACATGAGGATATGAAAAGAGAGCTAGATCGCAGTGAGAGACAACGCACACAACTCTCTGATCACATAGAGGTAATACAAGACATCTTCCTTGGAATCCTCATTGAATATATGCGCACAAGCGCCAAAGGCAAGAACGAAAGAATGTTGCAAAACAATACATAAGATAATGAAACATCTAAGAGATCAACCAGTCACAATGTGGGAAGTTGCTCTGCCTTTGTATTGTACACTTACTGAAGGTTATGAAAGATGATTTTCCATTGCTTTTTTAATTTATTAATTTAATTTAAATGCCAATGGTCCATTTGTCAGAGTTGACATATAGCAATACAATACAAGGAAAATTTCAAAATTTTGAAAATCTCTCATACCCTGAATGGGAAAATTGGGGTATGAGATGTTTTTTAGCTTTATCTTGGGCTTTATGTGTATTGCCAAACAATGGTGGTTCTGAGTATGATTTTTTCTATTTTTTGGGAAAATAAAGTTATTTATTTCTGAAATTATTTTTATGTCCTCTGACCCTTTAAGGCTCATCATATTGACAAATAATTCACCAAGAACACTTACATCACACATGTAAATAATAACTGAAAACAATTTGATTGACAGAAAATCCCATTATATTTCACTTAGGTGCTCAGCAAAGATGTCGAGAATAAAGAAAAGCAAGTAAGCAAACTTATTCAACAGCTCCAAGACACAACTCACCTGTATGACACTTGTAATAGAGACAAAGAGAAACTGCTAAATGAGTTACAAGATAGTTTGCGCAAGTTACGAGATGTGACCCAGCAAGCGGAGAAATGTGAGACTGATTACAGAAATACAGAGAAAGCTCTGCAAGAGAGTGAAGCCAAGAGGGAAGAAATTAAAATACGGGCTCAGGAAACAGTAAAACAGTGAGTGTTCTATACTGTACTTTTACCTAATTTGGCGCTTCTTATTTTGGAGGGTTTATTGTTTTGAACATTTGCTGGTTACTTAATTTGGCGGATTTGCAATATTACAACGTACTAAATATGGTACTAATTTACACTCCCCCCAGCCAAAAATCTTTCAAAATCATACATTTTTTCACGATTGTTAGCATTTCTCATGTGATATTGGGTCATATTGGTCAAACTGATCCCCCTGGAATTTTTCTGAAAAGTGAACCCCATGGGCAAAATCTGGCTACAGGCCTGAAAGTTATATATTTGGTATGTTAAACATCTCATTTTAATCTCTATAACTTTACCGAGAGCGATCTTATCCCGGATATGAGTAATATTTTAACCAAATCATGTCATGTCTTTTAGTAAAGTCTGTCTTTCATTACAGCTAGTCTGTGTTATATTTCAGGTGGAAGGTAAAATGTAAACGTCTGGAGCGAGACGTGGATAGATTCAAGCACAGTGCCGAGCAGCTTGTAGAGCGTAACGAGCAACTCATTAAGGACGGAGAGTCAACCAGGTCCCAGGCATTAGCAGGGGGACAGCATATGGAGTCACTCAGGAGGGAAATGGCTGACATCTTGGTAAGTGCTAGCATCACTGTAATTCATTTATTGTCTGCAGAGTTGAAACTACCAGGCCCGTAGCCAGAGGGGGGGGGGGGGGGGGGGTTCGGGCGAACCCCCCCTGGCCAAAAATTCTTTCAAAATCCTGCAATTATTCACTATTTTGAGCAATTCTCAAGTGATTTTAGCCATATTTGGGCCAAAATTGTCAAATGTGAACCCCCCTGGAAATTTTTGAAAACTGAACCTCCCCTTGGCAAATCCTGGTTATGGGCCTGACTTCGATGAAAAATATATTGCTAATGGTGGTACTTATGTAGCGTAATATGTATGCAATAATTGAGCAATGAAGTGTACATGCTTTTATGAAAATAGAGTGTTTAAACTAACACTAATATTGTCTTCATTAAGATTTTCATTCCATTTTCTATTTAAACAAATAATTTGCCTAATTTGCCATGGGTGAGGTCACATCAGGTTACCATAATTACCATGAAATCAACCAATCAGACAGCAGAATATTTATATTTATCGTATAAACTCAGTAATGTTTGGGAAACATCTGTACCAAGTTTCACAAAGATTGCTCCAGTAGTATTGAAATGGCAACATCTTTGACGTTACTTCTGGATCACTCTGTATAACATAAAGCTATACGCATAAACATAAGTTATGCTTTTACGAATTCGTGAAATATGCAACCATTACATCATCTCTAGAGATATACAAACATTAGAGTGGTTAAGTGATTTATTGTTAGAGAACTTAGATGTGAATATGTTATATTTTGACCCCCAGGAATTCCTGTCCCCTCTCTAATGGAGATCTTAATACAACAATTATCCTTATACACTGTATATTGATCGTACTCAATCAGGTATATAAATGCTACAATGGGGAGAACTAATCTCTAGAGGACAATTATTCTATGCATGCAATCATATGCAATTTCACTTCAAAACATTTAACTTAACCTCCCTATTAAAATAATGATTACCTTGGAGAGTATCAGCCCTTAGCATAGAATTCAACCTGTTTCAAATTAATGTATGACAATGTGATGCTATATTCTCTAAACTGAACGTTTTTAGACATGATCTAAATTCTGATTGATGAATCTATAAATTGATGAATGTATATAATTTTCATTCAATTCCATTGAATTTTGAAATTCAATGGAATTGAATAAAATTATGAATGATTATTCATCTTCATGTTACGCCTTGTTATTATTGTAATTTTCAAAGCTATTAATCACCTTCATACCATGTATTGCTTTTGAATATGCTGTCAGCATTTGAAGAGAGTACACTTTTAATGTCTCAAAGTGTGTGTCACAAAAAATCTGTATTTATTTTCTGTCAAGTAAAAATTCCTTTAAATGAATAATGGCATATTAGGAAAAGAATGATGCATGTTAAGTGAAGAATAATGGCATGTTAAGTGCTGAAGAACTTTAAGAGGCTAATTTCTGGTTCTTAACAAAATCCAGTGAAAAGGTAAATGATAAAATAATGTTTTAACTACTAATTATATTCATTTCCTATTGATTTCCTTGATGACACGTTGCATACTTATGGATAATTTGATGATTATCGACAATATTTATAAGTCCACAAACACTTACGCAATTCAACAAATCTCACATTCAACTTTTTTCTTATTTGTGACTCTTTTTCGTGTATCTATCCACACAAATAGTTTTTCTGATGTAGAAGGAAAACTGGTAAGTAAAAACATTTTTCTGAAGTTATTTTACCTCCTTCCTCCTGTTAAAATTAAGCATTTGAGCATTAATGTTTTGACCTGATCCCTTATGACAATTCTAGGTGTTAGAGTAACCTATTTAATCGACTAATGGATTCTTGAATGGTATCCTGACATGTCAGAATTGAGATTACATCGTCAATCTTATTTTTCTTGTCAGTAAGCTACTTTGATGAAAGGACGAGATAGAAACAGAGGTTGTTGTTGTCATTGCATATTGAGTATAGGGTACTGTCATTAATGTAAAATTGGCTGGATTTGTCTGACAGATATATTGTTGAAATACATGAAATCATCATTAGCCAATCAGTATAATAGTAAAAATCTAGTATTGATTTATCAATTTCTGACAGATTTGACGTATACATATACATTTTTAGACGAGGGATTCTGAAAAAAGCAATCCAATCTTCTGTAAGCCACATCGAATTTAAGGGATCAATTTTCAAAGATTCATACATTTCTTAATAACTTCATCCTTAAAAGGATATGTATACATATTTGTTAATAACTTCATCCTTAAAAGGCTTCTTAATTGCTTATGTATATTTTTACACTCTGGTATTGTCCACCGAGTAACAAGATACACTTTTGCAAATATCTGAGGAAATAATTATATCCTAATTTCACCTTACATGTTGAAACTGATATTAGAAAGCCTATTAATAAGGATTTGAACAAAACATCATAATGTACAGGGGCGGATCTGGGAACCAACAAGGGGGGGGGCCCAAATTTCAGGTCAGAGAAAAAAACGTCCGCGCTTGTGAGGAAAAAAATTTTGGGCCCCTAAAACGCAAAAGTGGGCCCAAATTTTGAAATTTTGAGGCCCATTTTCTTCAAAATTTGGCCTGAATTTAAAAAATAAGGCCTTAAAAGGCCCAGTAATGACCAAAAAGGCCGACTTTTTGGGGTCCTTTAGGCCTTTTTTGGCCCAAAAATTTTTTTGGGCCCAATTTTTTTTTCTGGGCCCACCAGGCCACCCCCCCCCCCCCCTAATCCGCCAGTGATGTAAATCATACAAGAATATTGATTCTTAGACCAGTGGCCATGCAGAGTTTATATATCTTTAATGGATTTATTTGTTGACAGCTATTTTTGCTTTAAGTGAAGATAAACACAAACATATTTCATATAGTTTTATAGATCATTATTATATGAGGTCTTTGATGTATCCTTGAAGTGTCAATACCCCCTAATAAGACTCAATAACTTAGACCTTCAAAAGCATTTTTAGCATGATGTTAGTATATTGGGTGTCTCAAAAAATGTTGATATTATACAGGGTGTCTCAAAAATGTACCTAAAAGTATATCAACAGCACATATAAACAAATCAATATTTTCAGACATTTTTTGCAAGGTCATGTAGCCAAAACATGAAAGTTTTCTCCCCAATACACCATTTTTATTTCAGTTTTGCCTTTATGATGCTTCAACCCTTTACCTTTTTATACACCACATAATCGATTTAACCCTTCTTTTACATCATATTATCGATGTAACCTCATATTTCAATGACAACCTGTATCCTCACTGCAATCACATTTGATAATAATTCTGGCAGAATGTCTTGGATTTCTCTTTGGATGTTGCCCTTAAGTTATTCTAGGTCTTTTTGCTTGGAATGAGAATTAAAAAAACACTTCTTCAAATAGCCACAGAGAAAGATGTTTGAGGATAACAACGGTAATGAGACATTGTGAGGGTCTCCCTATTCACCAGATTTGACGGCCTATACTGTTTTCTCTAGGGCTATTTGAAGAACCATTCTTATGCTAAACCCAAGCTTAGAGACCTAGAACTACTTAAGACCAGCATCCGAACAGAAATCAAAACATTCCACCAGAAATATCAAATGTGATGAACAATGTAGTTGTAAAGATGCAGAATGTCATTAAAATATGAGGTTACATTGATTATGTGGTATAAAAGGTAAAGGGTTAAAGTATCAAAAGGGCAAAACTGAATTAAAAACTGTGTATAGGGGAAAAACGTTCATGTTTTGACTACAAGACCATTGCAAAAATATTGATTGGTTTATCTATGCTGTTGATATACTTTTGGGTACATTTTTTGAGACACCCTGTAGATAATCCTTGGCATTGAGGGGGATACACTGGCGAATCTAGAACAGGGGACACATTTAAAATCAGAGCCTTTGGAACATGTATAAAAATGAGTTAAAGAGTAAAGAGATTAGGTGGGTATCAAATTGAATCTTATTGCATTTTTTACAATTTTGTTCAGCTTGATTACTACTCAGAATATGCCCTTGAGGAGCCTCATATTTATGCTTGAGTCACGATGGAAGTAAATTACGGTGTAGTCGAGGGCCATATACATGTACTTGTCAACAGGCTCGATATGGACCATTACTCTTATAAATACTCTAAATATATTAATATTTAGCATCAACAAAGTATTGCCCATGTTCAATTTCAATGATACCATTTATGTGGTTACATCTAAATTCAATATCAATCCACGACATTGCTTCGTCAACAACCTGACACACCTCTGACAAGAGGAATTCACATTTAATAGTTTAGCACAGCCATGACGCATGCAAATTTTTACGAAGGCCCCCCACGAAGTGGGCGGAGCCATTCGTTCTATGGACCGACTGTCGACCAGTCACGTGTCCAAAAGTCCGCCATTATTACCTTATATGGCAAATCATCAAAGCAACGATCAAAACGTCATATGTTGTGTTTGTGATGAAGATATGACGTAATATAACATAAACTATGACATCAGTTACTTATTGCCCTATCAACTAAACAGACAAGAAAGCTAAACGTCACACATCACAGTGTTTATTGTATTTTAATTTGTGACGTCATTAACATGTTACCTAGCAAACAGAAAACAAGCAGTAAAATGTAGTTTGTTCATTGTCTTTCTCTGTGTTATTTCCATAAAAAGTGGATCAGTTTTGTCAAAATAGCATTATGGCCTTCATATTTTTCTAGTGTCATTTTCACTTGATTTTCTTGTTATACATTATGGGTACTTTTTCATGATTTCAGTCAGGCCCCCTCAGATTTTGAAACGTTTTTTTTCTCGCCGATGATCCTATATAATGCAATAAAATAATGAGCATATTCCCATATCTACGACCATTCATCCTGTAAGTTGCCAATTACATGTACTTTATTATCTTCCTTTTAAATCAGATAAAACACACTGACAAGCGATAGTCTTAGCAGAATTAATGATCAAACTTGGGTCTTCTTCATAATTTCTGCT